TCTTAGACCAGTCATGACCCAAACATGTTCGATCGGATTCAGATCCGGAAAACGAGCTGGCCATGGCAGCATTCGTATACGGTGCTCTTCCACAAAGGTCTGTACAACACGCCCGATGTCCGGTAAAACTGCGGTCGGACGTTATCGTGCATGTATAGCAGACCTGGGCGCCGCCGAACGTAGAGAAGCACAACGGACCGTAGCACCTCATCTACGTATCGTTGACACGTCATGGTCTGCTATACACGCAGCAGACATGTACGTCCACCATATGTAATCGCACCCCATACCATAATGCTCGGTTGTCGGTGAATAGGGCGTTCTTGCACACACTGCTCGAGTAGACGACCCACTCGTGACGTATGCTGCGGTGCTCGGGCTTTACTGGAATCCGCTGTATCGCACGACGCGCGCGCAGTCCACTATCTACTAAACGCCGCCGTACAGTTCGCGTAGTGAGTGCGCCTTCCCCTGCCGGTAGCCAAACACCTCCAAGTTGCCTTGAGGAGGACGCACACGATACTAAAGCGTTCAGCACAAGAGCGCGATCCTCGTGTGCTCGCAGGGCAGTCCCGGCCGCAGCTGAAGGTACCTTTGTCCTACCTCAGACTATTCTCGCCATGCCCGTTGCACTGCCGATAACGACCGCTCGAGACGACGCGCAATTTCACGGAACGATACACCCTCAATGTGCATACCCACAAACATTCCTCGCTCAAACTCGCTTAAGTAACGCGATCGCTCATCCATTGCGCACAGAGTGCGATAACAATATGGTCCCTCACACCACACTAAAAACGACCGGTATTTTCCATCCACTTCTGTCTCCATAGCGACGGAATGTTCCACTTGGAAGGGCGGCTCAGTCAACAATGCCGCGACGGAACAACTCGTAACTCGCTGAATAAACTCGTCTACAGTAAACCTTTGCGCTTCGCAAATATTATGGATATTATAGGATGTGCTCGTGAATTATTTCCAACAGTGTATTTAGGAAAGATATCAGACTCGACAATATGTTTTTGCAGCTGAGATGCTATTATTTTTTCAAAAATTTTTGATAGTGTTGGTAATATACTGGTGTCGTCTCTGTCCGCTATGGGCTTTGCCCCTGAGTGCGTTACTTGGTTTAGATCATACCTTTCTCAACGTTCCTTTTGAGTGCGTGACACTTCATCTTCTTCTTCTGTGTTTCAAAGTCATAGTGGTGTGCCTCAGGGAAGTGTATTGGGTCCATTATTCTTTTCAATTTTTATAAACAATGTTACCATATTCATTTCATGCAACTATCATTTATATGCGGATGATTTTCAAATCTATACATCAACAACTGTGAATGAGCTCCCGGTATCCATGGCGCGTCTTAATGATGATCTGTCCAGGATACTTCACTGGTCTAAATGTTTTGGCCTGAGTTTAAATATTGCCAAGACGCAAGCTATAACATTCGGCTCAAAACCTTTACTTGCAAAATTTTACTTTTCCAATGATACGCAACTGATACTCGGTGACAATGTTATACATTTCACCAATACGGTCAAAAACTTGGGGGTGACAATGGACTCAGCGCTGTCTTTGCGGTATCAGATTCAGTCTGTTTGTAGGAAGGTCTATTTTTGTTTTCATTCTTTGCGTAAACTTGGTTGTTTTCTTCCCCTTGCTGTCCGTCGTAATCTCTGTTACTCATTAATACTGCCCCACATAGATTATGCTGATGCTGTGTATCCCGACCTGGCAATTACCCTCCGTAACAAATTAGAAAGATTGCAGAACAACTGTCTACGCTTTATTTTTGACCTGGGTAAGTACGACCATGTTACGCAATATCGTAATCACCTTCAAATGTTGACATTGCGCATGGAAATACGCAACACTCGTAGTTTTCTGACATTTAAGGTCTGCTTAAGGGATTATCTATTATCATTACAATTATCGGAACCTAACTACTATTGATATCGCCTGCTTCTCTCCTCTTTTTCTTTCTCTTCCTCTCTATCAACTGTACTCGTTGTGTTGTTTTTCCTCTTTGCTCTTTTTCTTCTTTTTGCTTAAATGTTGAATTATTTATATAGCCATATTGATTTTTTTTTACATACGTTGCTGGTTGGGTCTTTTGGAAGACATCGCCTTTGGCGATAAACTGAATTTTTGTCAACATGCATTACTTATTCATTTATGTATACATATATATTATTTTTCTCTTGTATTAACTACGTGGCAATAAACTTATTATTATTATTATTAATATATTAATCGGTCTCAATTCCGACAAGCGATCAGGATGGGTTACCTTTGGGATTGGAATTACAACCGATTGCATCCAACACTCAGGGACCTTGGCCTCCGTTATGCATGCATTAACCATGTGCCTAATTTCGGGAATTATAAAAGGGCAGCAAAGGTTTATCAATTTTAAATTAATACCATCCACTCCACAAGAACCCAACCTCAGGCTGCAAATCACCTCACGAATATCACTATCACTTATTTCATTGAAATTTAATATTACTCGCACTGTGGATTTATCACATGAATTGTATCCAACTATAATGTTATTATCAGGTTGAAAATGAGATTGAACAAAAAATGAATTGTCGTCATTAAGATGATCTGGTATTAATTGCTTTGGAGAAATTTCCATTTCTCAGCATTTGTTCTATTAGATAACTCCTGAGAAAATAATGCTTGTTTTTCTGATCTAATTGCAGTGGTTGTGAAATTTCTCAAGGATCTGTAATAGTTACCGTCACTCTCTCTGTCCTTACACTTGTATCTCTTCAAGGCATCATTTCTTAATTTGATCAGTAATTTAATGTTATCAGTAAACCAAGGTGACTTACGTTTTTGCGGGCGAATGATGTTTCTCAACGGAGCATGAAAATCTATTATACAGGTGTACAAAAAGTATGGAATAATGGTTCTACAGCCTAATGGCATTTGGAAACACCTTGTCAAAAGGAATCCAAAAACCTTAGAATATACAGGGTGTTCCATTAAAAAAACACACTCACCATGTCATAACTCGAACTGCCGTCATCATTTTTATTTTATTTCTACACCAAGATATGCGGAAAATAGTATATATTTTTTAATATAAGTTGAAGTTTGGGCTGTAGAACCATTATTCCATACTTTTTGTACACCCTGTATATCTATTATAATATCGTACATAGTAAACCAAGGAATCGCCATCAAATCAGATATTGTGTCATATTGGTTCCCTTATTTCTTGTTTTGAATCATATGTACAGTGATCCATGCAATGATCCGAAATATTTCTCTCCATAACTCCTGTTTGAACAATGTTTGCATCCTCATACGTAATAATATAATCAATCAAAGTCCGGGAATCTGCGGTAATTCTGGTAGGTTCATTAATTAACTGTTTCAAGTTAAATGTGCCAATTACATCAAGAAACGTCTATAATCGTAGCCCATAACAAGAGCATTCACATTAAAATCACCCATACAAAACAATTCATCAGCTACGGAATAAATAAATAAATCCCCCAAGTCTCCGACTTCTATTTGATTCTTTGCTAAGAGCAATTTAAATGTGTCAAAAAGTTTCCATATTTAAAGACGAAAGCTGAAGAGTCCGAAAAATTACTAAATGCGCAAGATTTTCAATGTGCTTTACCTTTGCTTTAAATCATCATCCCAGTCTTGCTCTTCAACATTTACTGATTAAAGATTCAGAACGCTTTGTAAAATAGCTTCATCCGGTAGTTCTTCCCCAGTTGGTTCGTTCTTATCAATCTCTACCCATTCTGCAATTTCCTGATTACACCTAATACTTTATTTATTGTATCTAAGATCTCTTCTTCACTGATTTGAGATATTCCACCAGTTTTGACAAATCAGCGTTGTAAAGTTTACTTTACTCGAGACCAAGAGAGTGGGCATTATATTTCTGTTGAAAGTCAAAAATGTTGCAAATATGTTGCCAAAAACCAACTCAGTTATTGGTGAATAAGCTATGGAGTTATCTAAAAGAATTTGGGCTTTGCTGTCATTTGGCAATTTAAGTTTTTTTAAATTAATCCTTGACGTGTATGACAAAGTGGTGTAAAAACTAGTCTTTAAATAATCATCTGGCATTTTGTTGGACACTGTAATAAACAGGCAAAGTTTTAATATTCTTAAAAGTCTTTGGTTTTTTAGATTTGCCAATTACGGAAGTAGTAAAACTGTCAACTTATCTTTGTTTTTTTTAAAGCCCTTAGCCGACTTTTCTTCTCCTCCAGCTAAAGTTGAAGATGGTAAATAACGCCAAAGTAGGCCTCTTTCATCAATTATACACTTAATCAGCTATCAGTTCGTTGTCTTTGGTAATTTTGTCGAATTCTTCCTTGTAGTGGTTTGCAGAGTCGTCATTTGCTGATTTTGTCTCTCTCGTCATATCAAATTTTCGAATTCCATGTCTTCTTCTTCTTCATGTTTGGACTCTACTCCGCAGATGAGGAGAACCTCGTCGCCCTTGTGGTCTTTTTCCACTGTCAGCACGAGACCACAATCAGTTGTCCAGGAGAATATTTGCATCATCACCTCATTGATTTTTATTTGCAACTCGGGCAACTCTCTAGTCGTGATGATGGCCATAAAATCATTGTCTTCTTATTACACCATCATAGAACATGTTCCAGAGATTTTGACCAAAAATCTTCATCCAAGAAAGCTTCCCAGAATCCTCATCAAGTACGTCGGGGTGGAGAAGTCCCGTTGCAAAGCTGAATGAAATTAAAGTTTCTGGTATTATAATTAAGTCGATAACGCTTTTTGTGTATTCATTATATGAAAATAGACTTTACCATCATTAATTTAAGTGTTCTACCTCTAATTGAGGTTATGTCAAATTTATGATGTGATAATTTATGATTATCACTTAATATTTAAATAATAACCTTGAAAAAACAAAAATTATTTTCTTAAAACTTATCACATTTTAATCGAAAATAGATAACATTTTAAACACTTTGACCTAACGACCTGTCCCATAACACCAAAAGATATTTAAAACTTAGTATTAACTCAGTATTCGTTTTGTATTAATTCATCAACATGGTTCTCTTAAAAGAGTGTTTATTGTGTCTTAAAAAATCGTATCCGAAAAGAATTCGTTTCTTTTCTGATAAAATTCGCGAATCTACTTACGTTGGAATTGTAGACGCGCCGGTTGAAGAGGGCCAAAAGAAACGTGGAGTGTCCAAAGCGCCTCAAGTTTTACGAGAAGCCGGATTGATTCAAAAATTAAAAGAAGATTGTAATGTGAGCGTTAAAGATTATGGCGCGATTAGTTTTGATGGGAATATTAAAAGTTCGAGCAAAAAATTACCTGAAAATATGCTCAATTATGAACGAGTCGTTGGGTATAATAAAAATCTCTCGGAGATTGTCCAAAAAGTTATTAATGATGGAAGGATTTGTTTGACTTTAGGCGGAGATCATTCAATAGGTTAATAATAAATTAATACCAAAAAAAAAAGTGTGTTAAATTAACGATTTAAACATTATTTTATAGGATTAGGATCTGTTAGTGGTCATTGTAAAGCAAAAGGAGGTGAAAACACCGCGTTGATATGGGTGGATGCTCACGCTGATATCAATACGAATAAAACATCGGATTCGGGGAATATCCATGGAATGCCAGTGGCTCTCCTTGCGCAAGATTTAATCCCTTATTGGAGTAATTTACCTTTTATGGATTGGCACCACTCTTTGTTACCACTAAAAAATATAGCTTACATCGGACTTAGATCGATCGATCCTTACGAAGAATTTCTCATACAAAAAATGGGGATTGTTTGTTATGATATATATGATGTTCAAAAATACGGTATTGATTCCGTTATTAACGAATCTTTAAGAAAAATCGATCCCGATGCGACTAAATCGATACATTTAAGTTTTGATATTGATGCTCTTGATCCATCGGATGCTCCGAGTACCGGAACACCAGGTTAATTAATAATTTAATCAATATTTATACAAAAAATATAACCTTATTATTTTTTTTTTAGTTGATGGTGGGTTATTATTAAGAGAAGGAATTTATATAGCATCGACAATCCATAAAACTGGTAGATTGGGTGCGATGGATTTGGTGGAGGTAAATCCAACTTTAGGAGATGAAGAAGATGTCCAAAAAACGATCAATTCAGCGTTGCAAGTGATTGCGGCTGCGTTTGGATACGGAAGAAGAGGTTTAAAACCTGGTTTGGAAGATTTAAAACAAGTTCGATTTTAAAATTTTATAATATAATTTTGTGAACTTCAATTCAAGATTTTATTGGTTGATTTAACTGAACTCTATTGTAACACCTAATTAACCTAAAATAAAATTACTATACTCTATTTTTTAATTCGGAGGAGTAAAATGAAAAATCGTATAAATTGTTTTTTTTATTCTGATTCTTCAACAATATTGGATTCTATCGTCCAAAAGTGTAATCTGCAGAGTGGTATCTAAGTGCGTTAGATGTTTTCGATGCAAGCTCAAAACTTATACAACATTCATCTCATACAATCTTTCTTCCTGCTACAAATGACAACCTAACAGCTCTAGAGTACCAACATCGAATAATATGGTACATAATGGGAAGGGATGTCCAAATAGAGATGAGGCATTAATTAGTTTAGAAAATTCTCAAGAATGTTTGATTGACTCATGGGCAATTTGACTGTTGCTGAACAGAATCAAACCCAAGTTCACGAACCAGATGAAGATATTGTGGCCAGTATTATATTATATCAGTCGTTTTAAGTTTATCTTGTATTATATCAAGATTTAAAATATATTGCAGGATATATAGCCTTCAAATACAGAGGTAAATATAAATTGGACCTAAATCAAGAAATAAATATTAACAAGAAGGAATTTTCATGGACACATACGTTATCAAAAGGACACTTGTTATATCCAAAAGAATTGTTCATATTGGTAAGAGAGATCTGGCAAGCATTTAATAAGTACCATGGCAAATCGTTGTCAAAGGAACCATTCATTTTTCAAAGAGTGGCGGACATGGTTTCATCATCGAGTTTACCTAAAGAAATGGTCACAATTAAACAATTAAATTCGCGAGCCGCAATTAAATATACAGTATGTCCACGGAAAAGGTGTTGAATAGGAAAAACTTTTTTATTTTTAATTTTATCGAAAAAAGTTAATCTTGATAAAAAATTTTGCTAGTTCTTAGAGTAAGATTAGGATAGAAACATTTAACATATTTTATACGCGGTGTTCAAAAAATTGAAAAAACTTTAAACGGTACAAGAGTAAAGTGCATTTATTTGAAAAGATATGGAAATAAGTTACTAGGAAAAGTTGTCCAAAAGTAAAAAGTAGTCTCTAATACCAATTTTCGAAAAAATCGGCCTATTTTTATTTATTTGTGATCATTTTTGTATTAGTAGGCGTTGATAGTGACAAGCTTTATTGACGCTTTTATACTTTATTAGCCGTAGTATTGTCAGCTTAAAATGACAAATGCTTACTTTACAGCAAAAAATGTACTTGGTGCAATGTTATGGGAAAGACGAAAAATGTTATTCAGGAATTTAATGAAAAATTCCTCAATGTGTTTAAGCACTGGGTCATTGTTGCGAATACCCAGAGAAAAGAAGATATACGATGAAAATGATGCAAGCACTTTGTTGGTATTACATTCAGTAGAGGTACAACCGAAATTATCATTAAGAAGAAGAGCTGAAAATCTCCAATTTGTTAAAAAGTCGCAAATTCAGAAGATATTAAATCACAACAAGATACATCCATACAAAACACATATGTGGAAGAGTTTTGCACTCTTTAAGAACGATTTGGAGTCTAACCAGAGCATTTCCAGACTTTTGTTTATAGCATGGCATCATTTTAGTGCGATTTCTGATATTTTCTTGAAATTTAGACTCGTCCAGAATAGTTCCCGACATTTGGTAATAGATTTATGTTTTTCCAATATGTCCCGGCGCTGCTAATTTTTCCTTTCAGTTATTCCTGTCCTTAACGTGTAAAGGTGTCCTTCCTTCTGGTTGTGTTTCATTTTTATGTTTTTCCAGTATCATAACTAAAGATAAATATAATGAAAATGTTGCTTACATGCAGTCGGGATCTTCAAATATCAAGTACCACATCATTTTATGGGGAAGAGTTTTGTAGTTTTGTCTAACCAGAGGAATTCCAGACTTTTGTTTAGAGCATGGCATCAATTCAGTTCAATTTCTGATATTTTCTTGAAATTCAGGAAAGTTCCTGGCATTTGGTAATGATTTTACGTTTTTCCAGTATCATGGTAAAACTTTTTCATGCAATCTAGAATCCTCTCAGTATATTTACCGACTTTGTCTTACCGTTTTGAATTCGATTAACTTAATTTCTGAAATGTTTGTGATGTTTAGACTTTGACTAAACCAATTTCAAACTTTTTTTGGTGTTAGGTCCTTGTAGGTCCAGATTAGCTTTTTTAGTCTGAAGTCTAACCGGAACAATTCGACACGTTTGCTTACATCCAATACAATTTCTTGAATTATGGAAACTTGTTAGTGTGTTTGGATTTTGGTTTGTGGGTTGGCAGTATGGAAAGAGCATTTCATAAGAAAATAATGTTTTCTGATAACTTTTTCGACTAATCTTACTCTAAAAACTAGCAAAACTTTTTATCTACATTAACTTTTTTCGATAAAATTAAAAATGTTTTTCCCATTCAACACCTTTTCCGTGGACATACTGTATATACAGGTGTCCTTAAATTGCTTAGTTTAGTCGCTAAAGGGCTTTACAAATTCATGATGAATCAAAGATAAAAGGCAAAACGAAAAATGCGAATACTGCTGTCAAGTTTAAGTGACAAAATGTTTGTGTTTTTAAAATTAATTATATGTAGCCAACTATTAAAAAAAAAACGTTATTAGTTACCTTGCATCACTCATTCGCGCTTGGGGATTTACAAAATATTTTTTTGTGGGTAAACCGTTTACCCAACTGACACGTCATTGACACGACGTTGTACACGTCATTTCCGAACACCTGTATATTAAAAAGGTATGCAAATTTATTCATTTCTGCAAAAAATTTAAAAAAGGAACTCGCGTACATTTATCGAGTGCCACAAATAATCCTTCAAAGAGCCGCATGTGGCTCGCGAGCCGCAGTTTGGCCACCGTTGGTATATAAGACTTCGCGATTTAAAGTTAAAAATTAGTATGAATAACATAAAAGGAAAAAATACAATGTAGAAATTTTTAAGATAATAAGCTGGTTTTATTTTACCTTTTTACCTATAGAATAGTTATTTATCATATAAATGTTAACAGTAAGATTTTCTTTAGTGTGTGGAAATTTTGTCTTCTTTGAATGTCTGTTGTTCCAACAGTGAAAATTTGTCCGTTACCAACTTAATTTATTTGTAACCATAACTGTTAATTGATATTAATTATGCTCATTTTTTCTTCTTTTTGTGCTTGCTTTATTTTTTGTCTTGTAACTTACAATTTTGGTGGGTTGAATGTTCGATCCGCAACCCTAATTACATTAGGTTTAAAATTATGAATTTATTCTGCTAAAAAAGTTTTGATGCAACATGCAGAATTAACAGAGTTGCACCAAAGGAAAGGTGAAAATGCTTACACATTAATACATACACATGTTTATGACATATTAATATATTTATTTTTTAGGAGGCATGATGATTGAGATGCGTTTTGATCAATTTTACAATATTCTAACTTCTTAAATTGTTCGTTTTTACCACCACATACATAATCTTTACCATCTTCAAGTTCTTCAATTATAGAAACCTAATTATTAAAAATTATATAATAGAATTAATTTGTTTAACTTACTTTTTTCCTTCTACCATATAGATGCTTCTAACTCCACTAGGTAAGGTAACACTTCTACTTAAAATAGCGGTTAATTCACTCATCAGACCGGAACAATTACCCCAGCAAAAAATTTATTGCCGTTATGATAAAATTTTATTCGTCTTGCTTTTTGTGTACGAAAAGAAATTGAAGAGAGTCTAGAGAGATGTACGGCTAGCTAAACCCGAATGTTTCTAGGCGTCTCAATTTGAAAACACTCCTCCGAATTAAAAAATAGAGCATAACAAAACCTAATTTGCTGAAACTGCAGTAGCTAGTGCTAAGTCGTTTGAAAACAATATCTAGAATGCTAGCATTTAATCGCCAACAATATATGTATAGCCCTCTGCCAATAGTATCTAGTCTTCTGGTAGCAGTGTCTACTCCTCTACAAACAGTAGGTAGACTTTTGCAAGCAGTATCTAGTCGCCACAATATATAGCTCTCTACCCATAGTATATTATACTGCCCATAATATAAATATTATGATGTTTTTGGATAGTGGTCCGAAAATAGCCCCTCTTCTTTCGAAAAGAATTATTTTAATAAAAATAACATTACTAATTTAATAATTTTAATTAGTCTTTTTATTAAATTAAAAATATTTAAATAGAATTGTCGAATTATCTCAGGGTCAAAAGCAGGTTCTGTCAAGACAAACACGTACACAACTTAAGATGCAATTAAATTGAAATGTTGTCGATAAAATTAACAGAATTTACTGATTATACAATTACTTTAAAGTTTAACTATACAAATTTACTTAACATGATAATAATAGCAGCAGCCATGAGTAACTATGGTAACCAATCATTTTAAACAATTTCCTGAGTGTCACAAAGTGATTTAGTATAGCTTGTTGAAGTTTTGTTGGAATTGGGATGAGTCAACATTATCGGAAAATCTGGCTGTTTATGAAAGGAATGATATCGTTTTGAAAAAAATCTAAAAATCTCTTTCCAGTTAAGGTTTTTGCAAAAAAGTAATGACCCAGGACAGTATCTCGTACTATTTCGCTCCACACATTGATCTTTTGCGGATATTGAGTGTGACTTTCTTGTCCAATATGAATTTTGGGTAGCCCAATATTAACAATTTTGCCTATTTGCTTGTACGCTCAATGTAAATGTTCCCTCGTCGGTAACAATTATGCTTTTGACAAAGTCGTTGTAAAATTGTTGTTGCAAAAACTACGACTAAATGCTCTTGAATGAGGTTTACTTGATAGGAATGATATTAATACCCCTTTTACATGTGGGATAGGGTGGAAAGTTTCAGGGTGGGAGAATCAGTAGAATCGGATCACCAACCGCTGGAATTGGTACTAAGGGGCGCGTGGGGGAGAGGGAGTTTGAATCGGGAAAGAAAAAGTATAAGGGCTGACTGGTCGGAAAGAGGGATAGAACACTTTAGGGAAAAGTTAGAGGGGTGGCGACGAAGAGTGGAGATGGCTAGGGGGGTGGACGAGCTGGTGCGGGTGGTGGGGGAAGCGATATTGAAGAAAGAGTACGTACGAGGGGGCAGTGCAAAGCTAGGCAGGAACGAATGGTGGGATGGTGAGTGCATGGGGGCGAAGAGAGAGGCGAGAAGGAAGTTGAGACAGTGGCGGAGAGGGTTGGCGGGGGTGGAAGAATATAGGGAAGCATTGAGGGGATATAAAGAGATATGCAAAAGAAAAAAGAAAGAATTGAGGGAGAGGGAGGCGGAAGAGATTAGAAGGGTGAGACAAGAGGGTGAAGTTTGGAAATATATAAACAAAATAAGGAAGGTACGAGAGGAAATTACCAGTGAAATACAAATGACGGAGTGGAGAGATTACTTCAAGGGTCTGCTGGAGGGGGAAGAGGAGAGGCGGGTAGAGGAGGTAGATACAGGGGGACGGAGAGGAGAGGAGATGGCCGGGGAACAAATGGAGGCGGCGTTGGGGGGACTAAAGAGGGGGAAGGCTCCAGGGGAGGACGGTGTCCAGAATGAGGCATGGCTGGAGGCAACGGGAGAAGTGAGGGGAAAGTTGTTGGAAGCGCTGAACAAAGTTTGGGAAGGGGAAGGGTTTCCGATTGGATGGAGGACGGCGATAATAAGCCCCTTGTACAAGAAGGGAGTGAAGGGAGTAGTGGAAAGTTATAGGGGAATTAGCTTAATGGACTCGGCGTACAAGATATATGCGAAGGCGCTGCTGCAGAGGTTGGAGGAAGAGATGGAAGAGAAAGGGATCTTACCGGACGGACAGGCAGGATTTAGAAAGGGAAGGGGCGCGATAGATAACGTGTACATATTGAAGCACTTGGTGGATAAAGAGCTGGAAGGGAAGGGAGGGAAGCTTTACGCCCTATTCATAGATCTAAAGGCAGCTTTTGATAAGGTGAATAGAGGGAAGTTATGGGAGGAGATGAGGAGGAGAGGGATTACTGGTGGGACAATAAACAGGGTGAGGGAGATATACGCAGAGACGATAGCTAGGGTAAAGGTGGGGGACGAGTTAACGGATAGGTTCTGGACAACGAGGGGTTTGAGGCAGGGATGTCCACTTAGTCCCGCTCTGTTTGCCTTGTATACCGCAGACATGGAAGACAGATTGACCGGTGGGCAGATGGGAGGTGTGGTTGTAGGGAGGAGGAAGGTGCATTCACTGGCTTACGCGGACGATTTGGTGGTAGTGGCGAGAGAGGCGAAGGAGATGAAGGCGATGATGCGGAGTTTGGAGAGTTACTTTAGGGGGAAGGCTCTGGAGGTGAATGTAGGAAAGACAAAGGTTATGAAGTTCTGTAAAGGGGGTAGAAGGAAGAGCGAAGATTGGAGGTGGGAAGGGAAGGAGATAGAGGAGGTGAGGGAGTACACATATTTGGGGTACAGATTTAGAGAGGACAACAAGGAAGGCGCGCATGTGAGGGCAATGGCCAAGAAGGCGAATAAGGTGATGGGGCAGGTCTGGGGGTGGGGAGAGAGATTATTTGGAAGGGATATAGGAAAAAGGAAGATGATATTCGAGTGCTTGATTAGAAGTGTTATGATGTACGGGGCGGAGCTTTGGGGGTGGAAAGAGCAAGGGCTGTTGGAAGGCGTACAGGCTAGGTATTGGAGATGGGTTTTGGGGTTGGCAAAAGAGACGCCGGAGTACATAGTCAGAGAAGAGGTGAAGGTTGATAAGTTAAGAGTGGAGGCGGGTAAAAGGGCGGTACGTTTTGAGGAGAGGGTTGAAGGGAGGTCTCAATGTAAAATTTTGGGGGAGTGCTGGAAAGAGATTAAGGCAGGGAAAGGGGGTTACGGGCAACGAGGGAGGGAGGAATATTTCAGAAGGGTGGGGTACTCAGTGAAAGCGGTAGATGATAGAAGGAGGGAAGGGATTGAGATGTGGAAAGAGCTGGAGAGCAGGGATAGAGATGTACAGAGGCAAGAAAGAAGGGGGCAGATAAGGGAGAGCAGGTACAACCCTAAGTACGAGGAAATAATAACGGAGGGATTGCCGAAGTACCTGTCGGTGGAGGGGGATGAGGAGGGGAAGAGGATGGTGGCAAGATTCAGATGCGGCAATGAGGAGAGAGCGAATAGGTATTGGATGAGAGATGATGAGAGGGGTTGTAGGCTATGTGGGGGGGAGTGGGAGTCGTTGGAGCACCTACTGAGGGAGTGTGACGAGCTAAGAGAGGAGGTGATCGGCTGGAAGCAGGTGCTGGGTGAGGGGGCAGAGGGAAGAGAATGGATGAGGGAGATGGTGGCGACTAGGCAGCGTAGGGAGATGCGGGGAGGAGATGGGGAGGGGTAGGATAGGAAATAAAATGTATTGTATTGTAATGTGATATATGTAATTGCAGTATGGTTAAAATTTAATTGTTTGTGGAATGTATTGCTGATTTGGTACCAATAAACTTATTAATTAATACCCCTTTTACAATAAGAAGTAATCTTGCCCACCTAAAACCACGTTTTATTTAACCTCCCCTAAAACATTTGGTAGGCCAGACTTCGAGAAATGCTTCAAGGGATGATTTTTATTTGCTCACAGCTAGACTCGCCATACTTTGGCTAATGAGTTGACGATCAGGATATGTTGTATTAAAGAGGTGTTTAAAATGATTGGTTACCATAATTACTCATGGCTATTGCTATTTCTATCATGTTGTGCAAATTTGAATAGTTAAACTTTAAAGTAATTTTTCTCGAAAGTTTTCTTATGTAAAAAAATTTAAATCTTTAGACCCGTTTATAACGATTTTATCGCCTATATCCGTTACTTTACGGACACACTGTATAAACAAAATGATGTGAAATATTAAATTAATTAGGGAAATTGTAATCCCAACCTCAAAATTTTATAGTAAACTTATCAAGAATTTTTCGTATTGAAAGTAAGAAGAGTTTTTTGAAATTTGAATCAACAAAACAATAAATTATAAAAAAAATTACCTAACTTAGCCAATTTGTTTTTATGAAAATTTTGGAGGTCAAACTCAGGATAATATTTTCTTCGTAACAGGAACGGTTGTATTCAAGAATGGGAACCAATTTTTCTCTTCATTAGAAGAATAATTTCTACCAGGAACTTGACCAAGTGCTTTTTTTTGATCAGAAACAGATTTAATTGTTTTCTTCGATGGTTGTGAACAGGAAAATTCAAATTAGTTTCTTCGATAGGAACAGGATCGATTGCTTTTTCAGTATTGAACAGGAACGGAAATTTTTTTCTTTACACTCGTTAAGCGTTGATTTAATTTATTTTTTGGAGAGCAAAAAAATGCGTGCGTCTCCTCAGACAACAGAAACCACTCTTTTTCTAGATAAATTCCGTTTTTCGGATGTTAAATTTTCAAATAACGTCTTCTGATTGGTTAAATTCATCGGTTTGAAATTTGTACTTTAGTTTTTTCAATGTTACCAACTTTGACATTTGAAATATCTCTAATTTAATTTGTCAAATTATTATTTAAAAAATTTAAAATTATTTATAATTATGCATGATATTTCGTAATTTTAATGCTCTTTTAAATCAATTTTTAAATATCCATTCATTTTCTTTTAATTTCAACGATAAATTTTCCAATATGTTCAAATTAATTTTGTAAATTTTCATCCAAATTTCATTATTTGTTACAAATATTGATTATTTTCTTTGTTAACTAAGTTAAGATTGTCGTTCTTAATAGGTTTGAATCGGGTAGATAAAGATTTAAATAAATAATTTTGAATAATTTAAATTGAGGTTATGTGATATCGACAACTTTTAAAGTTACTTCGTATCGACTTTACAATTGATATTTTAGTTTTAGAACATTAAAGAACAATAAAATGTATCGAATTTCATTAGTGTATAATATCTAACATTATTTTATTTTATATTAGTCATATTTAGAAGGAGGGATGATTGGGCCTCAAATGAAAAGAGGAGCCCTAGCCTGGTACACCGATGCTTCAAAGACAGTTAGATCGGGAGTAGGCATGGGCATCAGTGGACCAAATAGCCACATCAAATTGCTCTTCAGCTCGGACATAACAATTTTCCAAGCAGAAGTTCTTGCTATCAACTTCTGCACCGCTTTGAACCTACAGAAGGGACAGAAAGGTGCACAACAACATTGAAGGCAATGAGAAGGCGGACAAGTTGGCCAAAGAGGCAGCGAACACGCCCTTCATTGGACCCCAACCTGGTTGTGGACTACAAAAAAGCCACCTAAAACAAATAATCAACAACTGGGAGGTCTCAAAGGTAGCCTTACTTAAAACCAAAGAGGTTTTATGCCTCAGCAAAGGGGATCTAAGGACGCTCTCAGGCTACTTGACCAGCTATGCGCCCCTAAAATACCACCTCTTCCACATTGGACAAGCTGAGAATCAATCAAATATGACTAAATTATTGGTTATTACAATATATATTATTTACAAAAATCTTTATTATGTACAAAAAAAAAAACATTTTTATTTTAACACTAATTCGAATATAAAAATGTACATTAAAGACAAAAATATCTTTACACATTCACTACCACAAGTTGTAATCGTCGTGGTCGTGAAACGCCAACCACTATTGAGGCCCCATCATCCCCATTTGCAGATTAACGGGCGGGTACGGGGATTGTCCTTGTTGCGCTAATTGCATCGCGGGGGATTGAATCTGCGGTACTCCTGGTCCAGGCCCCGGACTTGGTTGTTGCGGCTCCGAAGGTAAAACCAAATTAACCAACAATTCCCTCACAGCTGGAAACAAGGAACACTCAGCGTGATTAGTTTGGAACTGAGAAAAATGTTTTAATAATTGACTCGCAGCTGCAATCGCAGGCGCCGGGCCGGGATCTCGTTTTTCCGCTAATTGCGTAATATTTGTAGTCACATCATAAACTAGTGGAAGCACTAATGTAGGAGGTTCTATTTGTCCCGCGTATTGTTGGTTTAATAACCTCGTTATTTGTAACTAAAAAAATTATTTAATAATTTTCATAATCAATTAATTATTTAATAACTTACAAATATTAAAATTTTATTTCTATAAACGTGAACACCCGACATTCCCGTTGGGACGATTGGGAGGGCAGAAGGTGGGACTCTCAACATCCATTGGACGGCCCATTTGCAACCTTGTTGTTGCGCGAGACTTGGTAACATATCCAACCTCATTATTTGAACGAAATCTTTTAAAACGTTCATTGGGACGTTTAACATACAAGTGAAACCCCCTAATCCCAACGGTTTATACGGGGGCGAAGCCACTCGGGTATCAAAAAATTTCTCGATTATTTGCAACTCTTCCCCCGTCCAAACATCTTTATGTTCCGACAGGGGGGTGATTTTCAAGTGTAATGATTGCAAATGTTGCGGGTTTAATCCAATTCGGCATTGCAAAGTTTCGGCTACTTTGAAATTAATTACACCAGGTTCTGATCCAGATAAAGGAGTTAGCTAAAAAAAATATATTTAATTTTGATTATTTCTTAGTTAGATACTTACATAATGTTCTTGATGTACATATCGTTGCAAATGTTTCCTCATATAAACGCACCCTAAAAATCGTTCCAACGGGGCTAACTCAGGTCCAGGAAGACCTTGAGGATGCTGAGATGGGCAACACAAAGTTTCCAACGCTTCGTGTGTTAACAAAGTTGGAATTGCGCCAGCCCAAGAGCGTTGTGGGAGAACTCTAGATAAATGCCCAGCCCCTGCTTTATGATCAGCTTGGGGGCTATGCATGATTGGGTGATTTCCGGGGGATTGCCCAGGTCGCGCTGGGGATGGTCTCGGAACACTCGGCGATCCAGGCCAATTAGACGCAGCGGGAGAAGCCATACTTTGCGAGGAAGGAAACGGACTCCCATCCGTATGAGAAGTTTGCATAAAACTACTAACGGGGGAATGTCCCGGTAAATTAGTAACCGGCCCAGGGGAAGGATTCGAAAGCAACCCCCCACCGGGACTTGGAACATGCGGATTTAACGGAGAATTAGCCACCAAATTACTCGGGCTAGGATGCGGAAGAATTGGAATTGGACTCGGATTAATATTGGTAGGCAACGAAGTTGGACTAAAAGAAGTCGCGGGACTCGACCCGAAATTAGTATGCCCTTGATTTTGAGATATCCCAGAAGTATGCGGACTCGCTGGAGTGTGAGGATTCGACCCAGAAGGCGGAGTTAACGGGTGATTAAATCTTAACCCGGGTTCTCGTTGTTGCGCGGGAGATTGCGGGCCGCGGTGATGCCCCAAAAATCCCCCCCCTTCAATTTCCATGGGAATCGGCGACGGGGGGTTATCATCCTCCGATTGAGATCGCCTCCGAACAACCGCAGTCTCATCGACGTATTTCGATAAAAACGCTTTTAAACCTTGCGTTGGGAAAAAAACATCCACAACGTTACTCCGATCGAAGCGGCTATAAGCCCCATCTCTTAAAGAAACCAATCCACTCCCGCGGATTCGCAACTCCAAACAATACATCCCTTGATAAACGAGTCGTATTAAAGTACAAGATTGCGCCATTATCGTGAAAGTTTGTACTGGTATTTGTGGACGCTAAATCAAAAAAAATAATTAAAAAAAATCAATAAATTAAACAAAAAAAACAAATTATTTACCGGCGTATTAACCCCCATTTGAGGAATAGACGGCAACTTACTAATCGAAATTAACGGTTCATAAGTCTCGTGCAATAACTGCACAATTTGCGTTAAATTCCGATGTTCGTTTAAATGCGCTTCCAACTGCTCCTTAATCAAAGAATGCGCGTTAATCGAATTATTATTAGCCCCAAAAGCCAATTTAAACATCTTCTCACTCCCATGCCAAAAAACGGACACCAAAGCGCCTTTATCCGGCCCATAACACAACACCAACTTATTATAATTATACGATTTAACGTTAAATAAATTTGCAAGGTTGTATTTTTCGTTATACAGTTGTAAGTATTCGCCTAAATCGTAAACGATCGTGTATAAATGAACGATTTGGGTCCAATCGTTTAATAATGAATCGACGTTTTTACCGATCGTTTCAACGCTACCCATGTTGTAAAGAAAATAAACTGGGCGACGAGAACCTTGTTCTTTGGGATGCGTGCTTTGTAAAGGTGTCGAATAAAAAACGAACTCCACCATCCAACTTTGATTACCTTTGCTGGTATGGACTCGGATTGAGACGCTTAATAAGCGTTTTAGTAACGAATTCCATCCGGCTGATTGGCCGATTTCGGGGGTTGGTGCGGGAAGTTGGATTAATTTTAATACTAAACCGGTTGCGTTCGGTTCTACTTGTAATCCTTGATGGAAAACGTTTCGTTTCGTTAATTCCGATGATAATGTTACGAACGGTAAGCGTTCGTCGCACATCGCTACCACGTGGGCTAATTCCGCTATGAAATAAGCGGGTTGTTTCGATCTTCGCGATGCAGATTCTGATCCTCCGCTACCTTTTCGTTTTAAAGTACCCGCCTCCGGGGTTGAGTCTGATAAATCAGCACCTCCATCGACGTTCGTAAATGGACCGTGTGTAACAACAAAAGTGTCTAATTCAATTACTGATTGAACCTATAAAAAATAAATTATATAGCAATATTAATAGGGTTTGAAAAATACTATTCCAACTCAAAGACGGTAGAATCTCAATGAATTGCTACATCCCGAGTTAGCAAATGCTTAATTTATTCTATTCCCGTTTTGTAATGTTGTGTTTAGTTTGAGACTTAATAAGGTTCATATGACTGGTTCAATGTGCTTTGGTGGAATAAGAACCTTGAATAACAGCGAGTCATGGTTATAACACTATATACAAAGACCACAAAAACACTAATCTAGGCAACCTATGCAAAGAAAATGGAAAGTATGCTGAGGATGCTAAGAAATCGTTGGAGCTTCTAAACACACATTTCCCTCAAAAATCTGTCCTAATGCAGGCGCAGATCTTGAAGTGTAGTTTCAAGTATACGAGCCCCAACAACTATATATTGGAACATAATAAAATTTATATACAGGATGAGTCGGGAGGAACGGACCAAACTTTAGGAGTGTATTGTACGCTTGAAAATAATGTAAAAAAAACTCATATGTTGTTATCCGATTTTCATTTGTTTTCAATTGATTGCATAACTACAGTTAAACATTTAACGTAGATTTGACAGTTTGATTTGCATTAAGTGCTATAAAATGCCAAGTACTTATTCACATTTAGAATATACAGACATGTTATTTGTATATGGTTTTTGTAACGGGAGTGCTACAGCTGCTGCAGATGAATATGGTCAACGGTTTCCAAATCGCAGACATCCTAACAAAAACGTTTTTATTAGAGTTTTCAATAAACTGCGCGAAACCGGTACACTTCCCAGCGTTAAAGTAACATCTGAACGAGCTACGCGTCAATGTTTAAATGAAGTAGAACATATTTTGGATCTAGTAGAAGAAGATGCAACGACCAGCTCACGCAGAATTGCTGTTCAATTAGACATCCCACAAAAGAGAGTAATAAACACACTCCACGAGCAATGCTTATATCCATACCATTTAGGTAAGGTACAACATCTACTGCCGGAAGATTATGTTAAACGAGTCGAATTTTGTCGGTGGATAAATAATGATCATCGTGTTGTATCGCATATTCTTTTCACGGATGAAGCAACATTTACCCGCGACGGCCTACATAATACTCGTAATAGTCACGTATGGTCCGATGAAAATCCCCATGCAACAATTGAAAACAACTTTCAACACAAGTTTTCGGTAAATGTGTGGTGTGGTATGATCAACGGTTATTTCATTGGCCCTTTCATTTTGGAGAATCGCCTAACAGGAAATCATTACCTAGAGTTTTTACAAAATGAATTAAATGATTTACTGCAGGATGTTCCTCTAAACATTAGAAGGCAAATGTACTTTCAACACGATGGAGCTCCGGCGCATTTCGCTCGTCAGGTCAAGCAACATTTGGACGAAAGATTTCCAGGGCGTTGGATTGGACGTGGTGGTCCTATTAGTTGGCCTCCAAGATCTCCAGATCTCACAGCACTTGATTATTGTTTGTGGGGATGGTTCAAAAGTGAGGTATACAAAGTCAAAGTTGACACTAGGGATGCACTTCTTAGGCGCATTCTAAATGTTGCAGTTAATATTAGGGAAAATCATGCAGCAATTAGGAAAGCAACGAGAGCTCTTAGTAAACGAAGCCGGAAATGTTTAGAAGTTAATGGCGATATTTTCGAACAATTACTAAAATAACGCTGATGACCAATATTTAATGTTAATGTATAAGATTTTGTTTAATTGTAGTTATGCAGTAAGAGTTATGCAATAAAAAAAAATAAAATAAAAGAAAATCGGATAACAACATATAAGTTTTTTTACATTATTTTAAGCGTACAATATACTCCTAAAGTTTGGTCCGTTCCTCCCGACTCACCCTGTATAATTAACAACAATTATACAGATTATTTTGCTTTAATAAATTTTTCAAATGAATATCATTTGATTAGACAATTAACAACAATTTTGTCTAATGAACAACACAAAAAACTAAATACATATCCTATTACATCTAATTAAACCAGTGATGGGCGCTGGGTAAATACCCGGCGGGTAGGTATTTCTAAAATGGGTATTTATACGGGTATTTACCTCGGCCCAGGGCACCCAGGGTAAATACCCAAACAGTGGGTATAAAAGTATACCCACTGTATACCAGTAAAAATATATCAGATTCCAAAAAAAATGAAGAGGAAGATGATGAGGGCGTTAAAGACGAGGAATTGTCAACAATCAAAGACATATTATACATATCATTAGACGAATCTGTCGTAATTTAGATTAGATCAAGTGATTATGATTATTGTCATCAAACACCCTCTGCGTCCAATGTTGGACATAGACCTCCCCTATTCTATTCCATTCGATTGTATTCTCTGCTGTCTGAATCCAATTGTTGGTCATTCTTTTGATGTCTACTTCGTCTGTTCGCTTGCGGTCTCCACTCAAGCAACCTTTTTGTCCACTGCTCATTCTTCATTCGCGCGACATGACCCGATCAGTTCCACTTAAGTTTCGTCATAATGTTGACCACATCATTTACGCCACTTCTTCTTCATAGGTCTTCATTTCGTATGTAGTCCCTCAGAGTTAGACCCAGGATCGACCTCTCCATTTATCTTTGCGCTACCTTGGACCCTCCTGGCAGTGGCTACCGTTAATGTTAAAGTTTCGGAGCCTTATGTCATAACCGGAAACACGCATTGATTGAAAGCCTTTTCTCTTGAAGATGTCTCTAAGTTTCCTGTAGGCTGTCCATACGAGTGTTATCCTTCTGTTTAGTTCGCTTTTTTGATTATCTCTCGATAAACGAACCTCATAGCCAAGATATACATAACTGTCAACCCTCTCAATCTCATTATTTGTTGATGTTAGAGTTGGAAACAAGATTTATCATAAATTTTGATTTCTCCTCGTTGATATTTAACCCGACTCTTGCACACCTCCTTTAAGTCGTTCAGAATTAGTTTAATCTCTCCAAGGATATCCGATATAAGAACTATATCATCCCCGTAGCGCAAATTACTTAAGCATTTGCAATCAATGTTTATGTCTTTTTGGGTACAATCCAGTTGTTTAAATGCACTCCGACGACTGTGATGAACAATTTAGGTTCAACCTTGTTTTACTCACAATCAATATTTTACTACTTTTACTCTATTCAGTATTTTAATGCAATTTTACCGTCATTGTAGTATTCTTGTAGATGTTATAAATAAGTTTGGTATATCGATAATCGACTCTGCATTCTTGAAGTGCTTGCCAAATTGCGATCAACTCAATTTAAATTAAATTTTATAAATACCTCTAAATACCCATCTTGGGTAAATACCCCCAGGTATATATCCAGGAAATTTACCCTTGAAAATAAATACCCGGGTATTTAACAACACTGAATTAAACTAGAAAAATGTACATTTTGCCTAACAACCAAATATTGGGATATGGCACGATTTGTATTTCTAATATGGAGTAACATCGCCCTTAGATTTTATAACCGCTTGAATTCGGTTGGGCATTGAATTCACTAAGGTTCTGCACTGTTCAGGAGTAAATCCATCCCAAATTTGTTTTATTTTGGCTTTAAGTTCTGGCAATGTCCGTTGTGGGTTGTTCCTCAAAGTTTGTTTCATTTTGTGCCACACTGTTTCAATTACATTCAGATCTGGACTGTTGGAAGACCAAGACAGGACATTAATATTTTAATCGCCAAACCACTTTTTTGTAGTTTTGGCCGTATGACAAGTCGCTTCATCCTGCTGAAATATGTAATTTTCGCCAACATTTAACTTCACGATACTTGGTAGTAAGCTGTTTTGTAGTATTTGTTGATATTTTGCGGCGTTCATGGTGCCATCAATAAATTCAAAGCATCCTAATCCTGAAGCTGTCATATAGCCCCAAATCATTACTCCCTCCGGAAATTTTACACAACGTTTTAAACAATCTTTTTGTAATTCGCGAAGCTATAACAGTACTCAAACGGGTGCTGTAATGAGACTCGTTACACCATCCGATGCTGTAATGAGATTTTAGTAACATTTTATGGGACCAATTCAAGTTGGTGACATTGGATCATTAATTTTTCTAGTTGTCAATGTGACAATTTTTGTCTATGGATGTTTAAACACGTTCTTAGAATCGAATACAAGGTCCATAATGATGAGGACATTGAACACTGAGCAATTTCTCTTATTTTGGGAGGTGTACATGAAACTTTTTTTCAGGTGAATACATTTTGTGTTTTGACACTTTCTAATTGTCAATTCAAATTTCGATTTTCAAGTGTTACGGTGTTACCAACTGCTGCATATCTATTTCCCTACATTGTCAAAATGTATTTATTTTTTTTAATAAAAGGATAAAAACGCGCATTACAAAAAATAGCATAAAAATCACGATTCATAAGACTTAAAGCACTCATTCAACTTGAATTCGTACGTTTCAAGCGTGTCTTATGAAACTTGTTTTTTAAACGGTAATTTGTCTTAAAGTATTTCTTCGTCCTTTTTTGCAGATTTTTACAAGTATTCTTTTATTTCTATCAGAAACTAACTTTGGACGACCTGAACTTTTACCCTTTTTTTTTTTCTAAAATTTGCCCAGTTTCTCCATGTTTGATTACATTCCACACTGTGCTTTTAGGAATATTAAGTTCGTCTGCAATTTCACGTATTGTTTTATTGCGGCAATAATTTTTAATTACTAATTCACGGATTTTTGACCCTGTAGAGATACCACGCACCATTTTAATTGATAAATACATATTTACTCAACAGCAACAATGTTACAAGCTTTGGAACAAACCGGCAATTAATTGATGTTTTTCATTTCATTTTACGTTGTTTCCACAGTTTACTTATTTTAATTTGTTCCATTTTTATGGAAGTTACTTAACACTGTCCCAATATTAAGTTGTCAGCTAAAATGTACATTTTTCTAGTTTAATTAGAACTAATAGGATATGTATTTTGTTTTTTGTGTTGTTCATTAGACAAAATTGTTGCTAATTATCTATTCAAATGATATTAATCTGAAAAAATTATTAAAACAAAATAAACTGTTGTAATAAACTTGTTGTTAATTTTATACACATTTTATTTTGTCCCAATATTTAGTTGTTAGGGCNTCTTATACAATATATGACAATCTATTTGAAAGCATCTGAAGAGTAATCGTGCCAATTTAGAGCTTTTTTCAATGAACGTTGGCTGAGATATAGGGTTTTAAAGAGCATGGTGAAATTTGCCAAAAAAAACCTTAAAATCAAAATAACTCGAAAACGAAAAATGCTAGGTACCAATAACTTTTATGAAAGTCAACATATTTTTTTACGTACACTTAAAAGGTGCAATAAAAATTATAGCATTCCATTTAAAATAACGAAGTTATGGTCTACTTCCGGTAGACCGGAAGTGGCAGTCATCTTGAAAATATTTGAGATCGAAAGTTCCGACTGAACAACCCATACTACAACAATTTCAAAACTGCACGAATACTGGAACCTAAAAAAGTTCTAACGAACCAGTTACGTGAGACACCTGTATACAAAAGACCACAAACACTGATCTAGGCCACCTATGCACAGAAAATGGAAAGTATTAGTACCTCAAAAATCTGTCCTAATGCAGATCTTGAAGTGCAGTTTCAAGTATATACTACCAAAACAATCTAACGCTGAATAACAACTAAAGCTAGAACAAACATTAGATCTAGAACTACTTAGAAAATTGGGGTTTAGCCATAAATCTCTTAAGACGGCTAAGCTGACTGAGCATGACACGTATTTTCAGATACTGACGTCATTTTCTGGATTATGAAAGAACAAAGGATGCAGTAGTCATTTTAGATTCTACCGTTTTCAATTTCAACCGAACCAAAATCAAATTTGTACGTTATAATAAATATATTACCTTTAAATAAACCTTTGGTAATTCCGATTCAATACTTTCATCTTCAAAACCTTCCTCGATACTCGCCGCTTTAACCACAATCAAATAAAAATTGCAATCAATCTCGCACGGATTACTTTCCCTCTCTTTAAATTCAACCACCAAAACGACATTTTGATGCCTATGCAATTGAATGTACATGCGATGTTTCCCAATTTTAACAATCTCATGATCGGGCCGATGTAGTAACGGTAATCGATCGTGAGCGCTCGCTGGAAGATGTTGGAGCGTTTTTTCGCACCGCCTCTGAGTGATCCAGTAACGAAGTTCGCTTATATATCTCGGCAATCGATTTCGATCTCCGTTTAAACACGCGGATAGATCCGGAATTAACGGCGGGTCGTATTGGGGAACGTGACATTGCAGCATCCCCGTGTGTGTATCAACGGTGATTAGAAGCTGCTCGGCGCGGAGGCATGGTTGCAAAACGGCGACTGAGAGAATCGCCGGAGATCCTTGCAGTTGACATTCGACTTGTTTTAGGGCCCCTTGAAGTTCCGTTTTTAAATCGGTCAAGCGGCTTTTTGTACGTACGTAAATTGTGTGGACTAAAAGGCGTTCCATGGAGAGTAACTCGGAGCGGATTGCTCTATCGGCTATTTCACACTCCTAAAAAATACTAAATTATATTTTTGACCCTATAAATAATTTTTTTTATACTTTGTTTCCTAAAGATGGGACGTGAACGACGGCTAAGGGTCTTGCGGGATCGTGAGTGTCAACTTGAACTGTTAAACGGTACCCTAATTCACTTCGTGGATCTTTACTCGCCGGGTCTTTTCCCTTATTAGTTAATTCCCTCCAATATGATACAGTTAAACATTTCCCCGGCATGTACTCATCGACATGGATGTGATCGTCTAAACGATCCCTCATTAGTCTTAACGTTTGCGAGTATAAAACTTCAAGTTGTAACGATTGGCAAAAATAATGCAAACAATTATAAACTTCCGTTAAAGGTGAGGGGTTATCAACCAAACGGGTTTGAATTAATTGGTGGATATATTGTACTTGAAGCGAGTGAACTAAAGCTTTTCCATCTAAAAAATAATTAAAATTAATTAACACGTTCGCTACCGACGCGATTCCTAATGCATTTTTAAATGGTGCTTATAACATCGTTTGAAAGTCTAGGCTGTTTCTGATTCGATGATGGGAATAGTATTTTCTCATGTTTAAAATACGAATACGGGGAAAACCCTTTGCATGTGCATTTATTAGTACACCCAATTCTTGTTCTTTACTTAGTTAGTTAGTTGTAGTCGTATTTCTTGTATAAGAACAATGAGTACAAGAATTTAGCGAGTTTGGCTGACTCATCACTTAATCTTCGGGCCCTTCTATTGATGATGAAATAAACTCAAATGGTTCTACAACTCCTGCTACACCAACTTTGTAGTCTGAGTTTGATAATGAGTCGGATTGAGCAATAATGCCAAACCTATTGACTATTTCAGATGATATAATAATATGTGCCGCAGAAAATACGAGAAAAAAATCTAAGAAATGAAAAGATGTGACTCCACCTGAAATAACTAAATTCATTGGACTCTGTCTTTTATCTGGAACTATACACTTTCCTCGGTTGTCAAAGCAATGGAGTACAAATTCCCTTTATTTTCAACCAGTTTTCGGAAAATCTCTGTCCAGGAATAGGTTTTGCGATATCCTGAGATTTTTGCGATTTATAAATCATCGCGAGGGGGTACTAACGACCGTTTATATAAAATACGACCTATTTTAGAAAAAAATGAATACCTTGGCTAATTTCGAGCCCAGTCCCAACACCTCAATTCGAGCTGCCAAAGAAGATCTGGNTGTTTAAAATACGAATACGGGGAAAACCCTTTGCATGTGCATTTATTAGTACACCCAATTCTTGTTCTTTACTTAGTTAGTTAGTTGTAGTCGTATTTCTTGTATAAGAACAATGAGTACAAGAATTTAGCGAGTTTGGCTGACTCATCACTTAATGCTTCGGGCCCTTCTATTGGTGATGAAATAAACTCAAATGGTTCTACAACTCCTGCTACACCAACTTTGCACTCTGAGTTTGATAATGAGTCGGATTGAGCAGTAATGCCAAACCTATTGACTATTTCAGATGATATAATAATATGTGCCGCAGAAAATACGAGAAAAAAATCTAAGATAACACTGGGCAAAGATGGATCTTAAATCCGTTTTTAAATGCAACTATAAATGAGGCAAATTTAGCAACTAAGCTCAAACAGAATCTGCTGGAATTATCTGATGATGGGATGTTACACTTGGAAGTGAAGTCTGAAAATTTGGATACCTTGGTTAAAAAGAAGAACAGAATACCCGGTTGTTCTGTTGAATTGTTGGCCTAGTTACTAGGCCAACCACAGACCAACAATACAAATTCCAATATCTGGAGACAGTTCCTTCGACACAGAATGACAAATCCGCGATGAAGAGGTGTCGCCAGTGTAGCAGAGGTGGAGTTTACAAGAAATCCAAACACAACTTCAGCTTTATAATCTGGCACAGTGCACAATAATTATGTTTTGTAAAACCTTAGTAATGGGTAATAGTTGATTTTCGAAAATTAACTTAATTATAACTCAAAAACTAAAAGCGATGGGGAAATACTTTTTATACATAAAACCTTAGTAATGGGCCATAAAGACTAAATCCATATCAAGATTGAACCCAATTATTACCATTTTTTATTTATAAGCTCTAAATTGATTAAACATCAAAGTTGTAGATTTTCGAAAATTAACTCAATCATAACTCAAAACTTAAAAGCGATGGGAAAATACTTTTTATACATAAAACCTTAGTAATGGACCATAAAGACTAAATCCATATCAAGATTGAACCCAATTATTACCATTTTTTATTTATAAGCTCTACATCGATTAAACATCCAAATTTTAGATTTTCGAAAATTAACTGAATCATAACTCAAAACTTAAAAGCGATGGGGAAATACTCTTTATACATAAAACCTTTGTAATGGTCCATAAAGACTAGATCCATAACAAGATTGAACTCAATTACTACCATTTTTTATTTATAAGCTCTAAATCGATGAAACATCAAAATTGTTGATTTTCGAAAATTAACTAAACCATAACTCAAAAACTAAAAGCGATGGGGAAATACTTTTTATACATAAAACCTTAGTAATGAGCCATAATGACTAAATCCATATCAAGATTGAACCCAATTATTACCATTTTTTATTTATAAGCTCTAAATCGATGAAACATCAAAATTGTTGATTTTCGAAAATTAACTAAACCATAACTCAAAAACTAAAAGCGATGGGGAAATACTTTTTATACATAAAACCTTAGTAATGAGCCATAATGACTAAATCNACTTTCGTTATTGTTATCGATTTTAACTCTTTTCAGTACTAATATTAAGGGACCTAACAGATAATTATTAGCTCACATGCATCAAGTGACGTAAACAAGTGAGTCTTTGGCAACAACTCATTGAGAAGGCTTGTTTTTCATGGCACACTACGCTAAATATCCATATGATATGTGTGCATTTGGATGGATCTTAAATCCGTTTTTGAAATGCAACTATAAATGAGGCAAATTTACTAAGCTCAAAGAGAATCTGCTGGAATTATCTGACGATGGGATGTTACACTTGGAATTGAAGTCTGAAAATTTGGATACCTTTTGGTTAAAAAGAAGAACAGAACCCCGTTGTTCTGTTGAATTGTTGGCCTAGTTACTAGGCCAACCACAGACCAACAATACAAATTCCAATATCTGGAGACAGTTCCTTCCACACAGAATGACAAATCCGCGATGAAGAGGTGTCGCCAGTGTAGCAGAGGTGGAGTTTACAAGAAATCCAAATACAACTTCAGCTTTATAATCTGGCACAGTGCACAATAATTATGTTTTGTAAAACCTCAGTAATGGGTAATTGTTGATTTTCGAAAATTAACTTAATTATAACTCAAAAACTAAAAGCGATGGGGAAATATTTTTTATACATAAAACCTTAGTAATGGCCATAAAGACTAAATCCATAACAAGACTGAACCCAATTATTACCATTTTTTATTTATAAGCTCTAAATCCATTAAACATCAAAATTGTTGATTTTCGAAAATTAACTCAATCATAACTCAAAAACTAAAAGCGATGGGGAAATACTTTTTATACATAAAACCTTAGTAATGGGCCATAAAGACTAGATCCATAACAAGATTGAACCCAATTATTACCATTTTTTATTTATAAGCTCTAAATCGATTAAACATCAAAATTGTTGATTTTCGAAAATTAACTCAATCATAACTCAAAAACTAAAAGCGATGGGGAAATACTTTTTATACATAAAACCTTAGTAATGGGCCATAAAGACTAGATCCATAACAAGATTGAACCCAATTATTACCATTTTTTATTTATAAGCTCTAAATCGATTAAACATCAAAATTGTTGATTTTCGAAAATTAACTCAATCATAACTCAAAAACTAAAAGCGATGGGGAAATACTTTTTATACATAAAACCTTAGTAATGGGCCATAAAGACTAGATCCATAACAAGATTGAACCCAATTATTACCATTTTTTATTTATAAGCTCTAAATCGATTAAACATCAAAATTGTTGATTTTCGAAAATTAACTCAATCATAACTCAAAAACTAAAAGCGATGGGGAAATACTTTTTATACATAAAACCTTAGTAATGGGCCATAAAGACTAGATCCATAACAAGATTGAACCCAATTATTACCATTTTTTATTTATAAGCTCTAAATCGATTAAACATCAAAATTGTTGATTTTCGAAAATTAACTCAATCATAACTCAAAAACTAAAAGCGATGGGGAAATACTTTTTATACATAAAACCTTAGTAATGGGCCATAAAGACTAGATCCATAACAAGATTGAACCCAATTATTACCATTTTTTATTTATAAGCTCTAAATCGATTAAACATCAAAATTGTTGATTTTCGAAAATTAACTCAATCATAACTCAAAAACTAAAAGCGATGGGGAAATAATTTTATATATATAAATAATAATACAAATTCCAATATCTGGAGACAGTTCCTTCCACACAAAATGACACATCTGCGATGAAGAGGTGTCGTCAGTGTAGCAGAGGTGGAGTTTACAAGAAATCCAAATACAACTTCAACTTTATAATCTGGCACAGTGCACAATAATTATGTTTTGGAATATTTTGGGGTTGCCCTAGTATTCATTTTGGTTTGTATAGCACATTACATTATATTGAGAACAAGGAAATAGACACTTTGAAGAAATTCAGGTCCAGTAAACTGGATTAGGTCTTTTTTTTATAAAAAAACGTCATGTTCAATCCTGAATCACGAAATCAAAGAAATTACTGCAAAAAGCGCGGTAGCAAACGTGTTAATTAATAAATTAATTTACCTCCTGTTTCTTTATCTTCAACCAAAATATCAATTTCTAATAATCTCCATGGAATATGTAACCCATCCCCCATAACAGTCAAGGCAACTTCAAATTCATGCTCAACATGGAAAATAACCCTTCCATTTTCGATTTTTAAGTTTTTCATTTGCGGCAAAAGGTTTCCAGTGACCAAACGATGTTGGATCACTTGGTTAAGACGTAATAAGGTGGCTCGTTTTTCTGCGTTTGTAATNGGAAATACTTTTTATACATAAAACCTTAATAATGGGCCATAAAGACTAGATCCATAACAAGATTGAACCCAATTATTACCATTTTTTATTTATAAGCTCTAAATCGATTAAACATCAAAATTGTTGATTTTCGAAAATTAACTCAATCATAACTCAAAAACTAAAAGCGGTGGGGAAATACTTTTTATACATAAAACCTTAGTAATGCAGTTCCTTCCACACAGAATGACAAATCCGCGATGAAGAGGTGTCGCCAGTGTAGCAGAGGTGGAGTTTACAAGAAATCCAAATACAACTTCAACTTTATAATCTGGCACAGAGCACAATAATTATGTTTTGGAATATTTTGGGGTTGCCCTAGTATTCATTTTGGTTTGTATAGCACATTACATTATATTGAGAAAAAGGAAATAGACACTTTGAAGAAATTCAGGTCCAGTAAACTGGATTAGGTCTTTTTTTTATAAAAAAACGTCATGTTCAATCCTGAATCACGAAATCAAAGAAATTACTGCAAAAAGCGCGGTAGCAAACGTGTTAATTAATAAATTAATTTACCTCCTGTTTCTTTATCTTCAACCAAAATATCAATTTCTAATAATCTCCACGGAATATGTAACCCATCCCCCATAACAGTCAAGGCAACTTCAAATTCATGCTCAACATGGAAAATAACCCTTCCATTTTCGATTTTTAAGTTTTTCATTTGCGGCAAAAGGTTTCCAGTGACCAAACGATGTTGGATCACTTGGTTAAGACGTAATAAGGTGGCTCGTTTTTCTGCGTTTGTAATCGGGTCGGGTGGTACGATTTTTTCTCGAATGCAAGCGGGTAATCGGCCGTAAGTTCCGGTTGTGAGGACTTCGACGGCAGCCGGGATGTGAAAGTTGGGTAATCGAGCTTGAACGAGCGTTTCGCGAGCCATTCTTGCCAACATATCCGCAGTTTCGACGAATAATAAAGATTGTTTATCTAAAAACGCCATTATACGCTAAAAAATTAGATTGTTAGGTTAAGTTTTTTTTATTATGATTAAATTTACCGCGGATTTTTCGACTTTCGAGGCGCTATTCGCCCATTTAACCAATGCTAATAACCGTACGAAAAGTTGTCTCGTACACGTAGCAAAGTTGTATATTTGAACTTTACGTTCCATATCGGTTTTTCTAGGTAACCTAAAATCAAATATAATTAATTAAACGTTTCTTTAAAGCAAGCTAAAATAATTACAATTCCGCCAATACTGTTAATTCGTGATAAGTTCTTTGAACGATAAATTCGATCAACATTCCCAGCGAAATCATCCCCCCACGGTTTCCTTCAGCTGTACCCAATCCACCTTGAACCACAGCATTTTGCACGGGGGTTTGTAACCCCTCCAAAGGTACAGGAGGCATCGTAACTTATTAATCAGAGTCAAATTTTAACCTAACCTATACAGCGAAATGGTGGCACTCTAATAATGAATTTAAGGAATATTATTAACGATTTTATAGCGGATAACTACATTTTTAACACTTTTTAAGTGTATTTAATGCGTTGTTTAACTTTATTTTTGATTAAATACGAATTTCGTAGAGTTATGCACAACACACCACACCTGATGCTACTCCGAAATTGAGCGCAACGCCATCTATGAAGTTATCAACGAAATTTTATAGAAATAAACATAAAAAAATAAAAATTACTAAAATAAAGATAATTAAAATTAATTTAATTATTCATAATTTCAATTTATTTCATTTAATATTAAAGGAATATTTATTTTAATAATAAATTTATTATTAATTTGTTCAAAATTGACATTTGATTCATTTGACAGCTAAGTGACGTATCTAACCTAAAAGTTTCATCATCACACCTTTTGTAATTTAATATCTATTTAAACATTGTATCGAAAAATGCCGACTGTTGGTGTAAAAAGAGACTTATTATTCGATGCTTTAGGAAGAGTATACAGTAAGTTTTATTTGTATCAATAACATTAATTAATTAATTATTGATTTTAAGGTGACGATGAGTTTCAAAAGTTATGTTTCGAATTTGGGCTTGAATTGGACGAAGTTGTAAGTAAGCAATAAAATTATTTATTTGTTTAAAGGAATGTAAATAATTTTTGCACTTTTACTGGTTTAATATATGTATTATTTTGAATAAGATAGATTCGAACAGATTCTAAAATTATAATGCCAAAATGCGCATGTATGTTGGAATTAAAATGTAAATGTTTAGAATTCTTAAATTTAAATTTACAAAATGTATACTATTATTTTTAAAACTCAGCCATTTCTTCATTAAACATAGACCCACATATCAATCAGTTCCATTCAAAGACAACTAATCTTTCCAATTTACACAACAAGAATTAAGTTTGCTTAATAAGGGACATAAATATGCACACACACCCATGTTCCTGAACCTATCAAATTGGCCAGACATCCAGGACATGATAATGGGCCCACAGGAAGAAGACTCATTAAGAAAAGATTTTATAGAGATCCTCAAAAGAGAAGAGCGTAAAAAAGGACAATTATCCAATAACAACAATATTAAAAGAGTCAAAGAAGAGGAACAAATTATACATAAGATCAAAACAAAAATTAAAAATAACTCTTTAATTATAACAAATGCAGATAAAAATGCAGGTTTAGTTATTTTAGAAAAGAAAAATTATATAGATAAAACTTTGCAATTTGTTGATGATAATAACTTCGTTGAAATAAAAAGAAACCCTACTCACAGTTTTCATACTAAAGTCAAAAAAGAATAATAAATTATCGAACTATTTCATTTCTTCCTATGAACCCAAAAGTGCCCCTAGTTTATTCCTTGATAAAACATATCATATGATATCATCTATTAATTCTAGTACATATAACATTTCTAAATTTATGATTAAATTTTTTTTTTTTGTCTACTTTTGAACTCATTTTGAACCTAACAACTAATTATGTCATGTTGCTTACTTTCTTTGAATTCTAAATAATAATACGCATTTTGTAAATTTAAATTTAAGAATTTTTGAACATTTACATTTTAATTCCAACATACATGCATTTTGGCTTTATAATTTTAGAATCTGTCGATACAAAAAATTGGTTTTTGATTTTTGTAACCTGTTCATACACTCAATGTCGTATAGCAGTGGTGTCCATAACGTCGATCGCAAAGCATTTTTGAGTCGATCGCCAAGAAAATCATGAATCTGAAATATCTATATCTGGGCCTCAGAGCAAAAAATCGAAAATTCGAAAATTAACTCAATCATAACTCAAAAACTAAAAGCGATGGGGAAATACTTTTTATACATAAAACCTTAGTAATGGGCCATAAAGACTAAATCCATATCAAGATTGAACCCAATTATTACCATTTTTTATTTATAAGCTCTAAATCGATTAAACATCAAAATTGGTGATTTTCGAAAATTAATTGAATCATAACTCAAAAACTAAAAGCGGTGGGGAAATACTTTTTATACATAAAACCTTAGTAATGGGCGATAAAGACTAGATCCATAACAAGATTGAACCCAATTACCACCATTTTTTATTTATAAGCTCTTAATCGATTAAACATCAAAATTGTAGATTTTCGAAAATTAACTCAAAAACTAAAAGCGATGGGGAAATACTTTTTATACATAAAACCTTAGTAATGGGCCATAAAGACTAGATCCATAACAAGATTAAATCCAATTATTACCATTTTTTATTTATAACCTCTAAATTGATTAAACATCAAAATTGTTGATTTTCGAAAATTAACTCAATCATAACTCAAAAACTAAAAGCGATGGGGAAATACTTTTTATACATAAAACCTTAGTAATGGGCCATAAAGACTAGATCCATAACAAGATTGAACCCAATTATTACCATTTTTTATTTATAAGCTCTAAATCGATTAAACATCAAAATTGTTGATTTTCGAAAATTAACTCAATCATAACTCAAAAACTAAAAGCGATGGGGAAATACTTTTTATACATAAAACCTTAGTAATGGGCCATAAAGACTAGATCCATAACAAGATTGAACCCAATTATTACCATTTTTTATTTATAAGCTCTAAATCGATTAAACATCAAAATTGTTGATTTTCGAAAATTAACTCAATCATAACTCAAAAACTAAAAGCGATGGGGAAATACTTTTTATACATAAAACCTTAGTAATGGGCCATAAAGACTAGATCCATAACAAGATTGAACCCAATTATTACCATTTTTTATTTATAAGCTCTAAATCGATTAAACATCAAAATTGTTGATTTTCGAAAATTAACTCAATCATAACTCAAAAACTAAAAGCGATGGGGAAATACTTTTTATACATAAAACCTTAGTAATGGGCCATAAAGACTAGATCCATAACAAGATTGAACCCAATTATTACCATTTTTTATTTATAAGCTCTAAATCGATTAAACATCAAAATTGTTGATTTTCGAAAATTAACTCAATCATAACTCAAAAACTAAAAGCGATGGGGAAATACTTTTTATACCTAAAACCTTAGTAATGAGCCATAAAGACTGAATCCATAACAAGATTGAACCCAATTATTACCATTTTTTTTATTTATAAGCTCTAAATCAGTAGTGGCCATAATATCTACATCTGGGCCTCAGAGCAAAAAGAAAAGGAACACTGTTTAAGCGAAACATGTAAAACTAGAACTTATTATTCAAAATAATACATATATTAAACCAGTAAAAGTGCAAAAATTATTTACATTCTTTTAAACTACATTTTGATTACTGGTTAAAATGGATCACATCATCAATTTCGATTTTATTAACTTTAATTCTTTAGACAACAGAGAAGCAAATGATAACGAAAGAACAAGGCGAAGACAGTCAATTAACAGCGGACGCTTCCGAAGATGTTATTTATCGCATTGATATCCCAGCGAATCGATACGACTTGTTATGTTTGGAAGGATTAGTTCTTGGATTATTAGTTTTTCAAAAAAAAATGTCCCCTCCGATTTTTAAGGCTTTAAAACCACCAGAAGGTTCAATTCAACGATTAATAATCCAACCTAACACAGCTAAAATTCGTCCACATGCTGTAGCGGCTGTTTTACGAAACATGTATTTCACTCAAGACTCGTACAACAGTTTCATTGATTTGCAGGATAAATTACATCAAAATATTTGTCGTAAACGCTCTTTAGTTGCGATCGGAACCCACGATTTAGACATGATCGAAGGTCCGTTTATTTACGATGCGAAACCTCCAAATGAAATCAAATTTATTCCTTTGAATCAAACTAAAGAATACACCGCCGTTGAATTAATGGATTTATACGCGACCCATGCTCAATTAAAACAATATTTGCATATTATTAAAGATAAACCTTTATATCCAGTTATTACGGATAGTAAAGGTCGCGTTTTATCGATGCCTCCTATTATTAATGGGGACCATTCAAAAATTAGTTTAAATACGAAAAATGTTTTCATTGAATGTACCGCTACCGATTTAACTAAAGTAAGTTAAGATGATAATAATAAAGTTAAAAAGTTATTGTTTTATTTAAATTTAGGCTAAAATCGTATTGGATACTTTAGTCTGTATGTTTAGCCAATATTGTTCCGATAAATTCTGCGTTGAATATTGCGAGGTTGAGAAACCGGATGGAAATGTTTCGTTGTATCCAGAATTGGGGTATCGAGATGAAATTATCTCGGCTAAAACAGCAAATGGATTAGTTGGGATAAAGTAATATAATATAATTTTTCTTAATTTAGTTTAAAATTATTTTTTTTTAGTGAAAATAGCTCAAAACTGGCTGATCTTCTCTCGAAAATGTGTTTATCATCGGAAGTTCTAACCTCAAACGATGCAATTAAAGTTAGTATTCCACCAACACGACATGATGTGATCCATCCATGTGATATTTATGAAGATGTGGCGATTGCTTATGGGTATAATAACATAAAACGAACCATTCCAGGGACGAGTACAATTGGGGAACAACTTTCGATCAATAAGTTATCAGATTTATTGAGATTTCCGATAGCTGAGGCGGGATTTACTGAAGCTTTAACCTTTTCTTTGGTAAATTTGAATTAAAAAGTAGTTTTTCTTCTACTCATCCTTATGTCTGATGGCCTCTTCTTCCACCCCCTCCAGTTCCTGGGTAATTCCTTTATATCTGCTAGAGTCTTCCCTCTCTTCTTCCCAACTATTCTTTCCTCCCATTTCTTCCTAGGTCTTATCCTTATTCTTTGCTTCAAATACTTTTTTTACTATTGTGTTATGTTCCATTCTAATTATGTAGTTAGTTACTTTCTCTCTATTTTGCTTGATCTACTCCTAGTCTTATTTCCTCATTCCTTATCCTATCCCACTTCGTCTCCCCCATTCTTGTTTATCTTATGATTCACTGACATATGTTAATATTGGGATTGCCACCAAGTTGTACACTTTCAATTTTATCTTCTCATCTATCCTTCCTCCCAAAAATTGTTCTGTTTAGAGTATGATATAGGTTGTTTGTTTTCCTTATTCTTGCATTTATGTCTAAATCTATCCTTCCATCTTGTGATATTATACTGCCCAAGTACTCATATTTATTTATTTATTTTACTTCCGAAATTACAGGGTTGCCCCTAATTACAAATTTCAGAACTTAAGTCTACTAGTACATAATATAATCAATAAAAACAAACAAAACAACTAAGATCGAAACTGTACCCATTTCTAATGACAAATCCTAAGAGACGCAAAGCTGTGGCTTTAATATGTTCAGCAAAGAACTGAAATCCCCAACATATCTGATACTGCGTTTTTATAAGAGACGTAATAAAATCTGTTGGACAAATATGAAACAAAAAAACTAAGAGTAGAATAAGAAAACCCGTGTTGTACGAGCTTGTGCAGAAGCGTACCTTGATCCACCCTATCGAATGCTTTTTAAAAATCCGTGTAGATAACATCTACTTGAGCTCTAGCATCCAATGCTTTGGAAACATAAATCTGATTAACATTCAACGAAAGTTTTACTTGATTGAAAATCCTGCGATAAATCAATTGTTCGAAAACTTTGATGATTTTTCAAAAGATTTGCAAAAGCAGATGTGATATCTTTGCTAGAAGCAAGAGGAACTCCGTCGAAACAAAATTGGCTCTGGTTTCAAAAACTAAAAGCGACGGGGAAATACTTTTTATACATAAAACCTTAGTAATGGGCCATAAAGACTAAATCCATAACAAGATTGAACCTAATTATTACCATTTTTTATTTATTAGCTCTAAATCGAAAAATATCAAAATTGTTGATTTTCGAAAATTAACTCAATTCTAACTCAAAAACTAAAAGCGATGGGGAAATACTTTTTATACATAAAACCTTAGTAATGGGCCATAAAGACTAAATCCATATCAAGATTGAACCCAATTATTACCATTTTTTATTTATAAGCTCTAAATCGAAAAATATCAAAATTGTTGATTTTCGAAAATTAACTCAATTATAACTCAAAAACTAAAAGCGATGGGGAAATACTTTTTATACATAAAACCTTAGTAATGGGCCATAAAGACTAAATCCATATCAAGATTGAACCCAATTATTACCATTTTTTATTTATAAGCTCTAAATCGATTAAACATCAAAATTGTTGATTTTCGAAAATTAACTCAATTCTAACTCAAAAACTAAAAGCGATGGGGAAATACTTTTTATACATAAAACCTTAGTAATGGGCCATAAAGACTAAATCCATATCAAGATTGAACCCAATTATTACCATTTTTTATTTATAAGCTCTAAATCGATTAAACATCAAAATTGTTGATTTTCGAAAATTAACTCAATTCTAACTCAAAAACTAAAAGCGATGGGGAAATACTTTTTATACATAAAACCTTAGTAATGGGCCATAAAGACTAAATCCATATCAAGATTGAACCCAATTATTACCATTTTTTATTTATAAGCTCTAAATCGATTAAACATCAAAATTGTTGATTTTCGAAAATTAACTCAATTCTAACTCAAAAACTAAAAGCGATGGGGAAATACTTTTTATACATAAAACCTTAGTAATGGGCCATAAAGACTAAATCCATATCAAGATTGAACCCAATTATTACCATTTTTTATTTATAAGCTCTAAATCGATTAAACATCAAAATTGTTGATTTTCGAAAATTAACTCAATTATAACTCGAAAACTAAAAGCGATGGGAAAATACTTTTTATACATAAAACCTTAGTAATGGGCCATAAAGACTAAAGCCATATCAAGATTGAACCCAATTATTACCATTTTTTATTTATAAGCTCTAAATCTATTAAACATCAAAACTGTTGATTTTCGAAAATTAACTCAATTATAACTCGAAAACTAAAAGCGATGGGGAAATACTTTTTATACATAAAACCTTAGTAATGGGCCATAAAGACTGAATCCATAACAAGATTGAACCCAATTATTACCATTTTTTATTTATGAGTTCTAAATTGATTAAACATCCAAGTTGTAGATCTTCGAAAATTAACTCGATAATCAAATAATCAGTGGTTGTTTCCATTTAAAAAAACGAAAATTGTCATAATATCTAAAAATCTAAAACCGAAAAAATTTTTTTGACTACGTCATCAGATTCTCTGTAAAAAAGTGTCCATATAATGTCTTAGTTATAATACTCCACCTATAATAATAACCAAGATCTCCGGATCTATCTTGTCTTTGCTGCAAGCCTTGTCATCATTGCCTCTCCTAATTCTTCCATTGTTATCTCTTCTCTAGCTATGTCTGTAGTGTCTTCCCTTATCTTCTCTTCCCTCCTCCATTGTTTGTGTCTGTTTTCCACCCTTGAACTTTTCTGCATAAAAATGCTCCCATATGTCCAGAATTTCCCTTGGTATTCGATCTGTATGTTTCATTTCTAACTTTTCTTAGCTACATCTCAGTCCGTTCTATAGTTTGCTCTATCCTCTTCCGAATTCGTTCTTATGTGTTTCTTCCATAACTCTTTCTTCTCCATTCTACCAGTGAGTTCTCTTTGTCTCATTATTATTTTTCTCATTCCACACACCTCCATAGCTTTATTTCTCTGGTAAATTCTCCGTTTGTTCTAGTTTTTGAAATTCGTTGTTTGTTTTTTCTTGGTATTTTAGTCTTTCTTCCTCCTGCCTTAGTTTATGGATGTTTATTTTCGTTTATTTTATTTTCCAATCAATAAATCGTTTATTTGACAAAATTCCAGCATTCTTCCCCCATTTCTATTCATCGCTTATTATACAAATTAAAAAGTACAACTAACCAATAATTTAAATAAATAGTGTTCAAGGGATGATATTTCGAGCAAATTAGGCAAAGCAATCGAAGAAATTCCTGCTGTACATATTTCGAACCCAAAAACTTTGGAGTTTCAAGTTTGTCGCACGACTTTGCTGCCGGGGATTTTAAAAACGATAGCGGCCAATAAGAAAATGCCGCTTCCGATTAAAATTTTTGAGATCTCCGATGTTGTTTTAAAAGATATTAATACAGGTAAACATCATTTTCTCGTCATCAACACTTTATTAAAACTTTTAAATCATTTTAGAAGTAGGGGCTAGAAACGAGCGTAGAATTTGTGCGGTAAATTGCAATAAAACCGCTGGTTTTGAGGTTGTTCACGGATTATTGGATAGAATTATGCTTTTATTGGAAGTACCATGGAATCCAAAGAAAGAAAAAACCGGCTATTATTTAAAAGCAATTGAAGGTCAAACAAAAAGACTAAGTTAACTTAAAAATAACTTCATTTAATTTTAGATCCAGCCTATTTCCCACAAAGATGCGCCGAAATCGTTTGCAATGGAAAGCCAATTGGAAAAATCGGTGTTTTACACCCGAATGTTCTCGCAAAGTTTGAATTAACCATTCCTTGCTCTGCACTCGAAATAACCATCGAACCTTTCGTTTAATTAATTAAAAATTTACATTAAATGTTTATTATTTTGATTTTATTGATGTAATAGCGCCATCTATGATTATTAATTCAAATCAATATTCCCAAATATACGATTTTAACAATTAAATAATATAATTATTAACTCAAAACGACCAAAAAAAACATTAGTTTATTAATTAATTATATTTAATTAATAAATTAATATTTAAATTTTGATTCGAAAAAATAGCGCCATCTTTTAAGAAAGCTCACGAATCATCAACGTCAATTAAAACATAACCTAAAAAAGTTGATTTGACAACAATTTTATAACAAATTAAATAAATAAATAGTATTTTATAATGTCTATTGAAATAGAATCAGCCGAGTAAGTTAGCTCAACCCAAATAATAAGATACTAACCTCAATTTTATCTTTTAGCGTAATTCGACTTATTCAGCAATACCTAAAAGAGTCTAACTTATTCCGGACGTTGCAAACGCTTCAAGTAATTAGTTTTAATTATTATTAAAGTTTATTAACGCCCCTTTACGTGGTTTTTTTAGGAGGAAACCGGTGTTTCGTTAAATACCGTTGATAGTGTAGACGGTTTTGTCGCCGATATCAATAATGGCCATTGGGATACCGTTTTAAAAGCGATCCAATCGTTAAAATTACCTGATAAGAAGTTAATTGATTTATATGAACAAATCGTTTTGGAACTTATTGAGTTACGAGAGTTAGGTGCCGCTCGATCTTTGTTAAGACAAACGGATCCCATGATTATGTTGAAACAAAATGAACCGGAACGATATATTCATTTAGGTTTTAATTAATATTTGGGAAAAATTTAAGAATCATCATGGGGCTTAAAAATCGCCCATTAATTTTATTTAATGACTCAAAAAATACATTAAAAGTTAAAAAAAAGTGTAGAAATTTGTTTTATATATGTATTTCTTTTTTAATTTATATACAGGGTGTATCTAAATTGATGCGAAAAATTTTAAGGATGATTTTTCAACTTCCCTTCTCCTCCAAGTTATAGCCCTCTAAAGTTAATGGAAAAAATTTGCAACTTTCTTATCTCTTGACATTTTACAACTAACAAATTGTTAGTTTGATCACAAAAAATAAAATAATGGTAAGATCAATTTGATATAACTTCATTTGTTTGACTAATAATAACCAATCTCTAAATTAATTCACTTGAACCTGCGTATTATTTTATTTTTTTGTGATCAAACTAACAATTTTAGGAGAAAATGTTAAGAGACAAAGAAGTTGCGTATTGAATCCCTCTATTTAAATCATCTTTTTAAATAGAAAAACGTAAACGCATTAAAAAGTTCTGATGCAAAGTATTATAGGGGTTGATTTTTTCAGCCCCTTCTAATAACATTTTATTGTCACAAAAATCGTCTAAAGGTGTCACCTTATTAGTAATAGTTATCTGCCAAATTTTATCCTTCCAAATTCCTCCATAGTGGATTTATTAAAGAAAAACAATTTTTTCCCCTAATTTTAGGGGGCTGTAACTTGGAGGAGAAGTGGTTTTAACCAAAAAGTTATATATATTAAAATCTTTCACATCAATTTAGATAGGTACATTCTGTATATGTATAGGCCCAAATAAATATTGTTCTCTCTCTCTCTCTCTCATATTAAAGTTGATTGACGTCACGTTTTGTGACGTCACAAGCAATGTTAATCATGCATTTTTCTATTAAACTTAACCCTAGAATGGTAACGTTCAATTCTACTCTATTATCTTTAATAGCAGATGGCGTCGTATACGACGCCACGTTACCGTTCTAGGGTTAAAAGTAAAGTTATTTTTACTAAACTAGGTGAGATTACAACGTATATTTTCGAATAAAACACCCTTGTTTTTCTTAGGCTTTCGATGCATGATAACTGATTACTAGGTCTTGTGGTAGCTAAATAACATTTAAAACTAGAACTAACACTAGACCCAGAACTAGAAACATTCGGATTTAGCCGCACGTCTCTTAAGACGGCTAAACCCGAATGATTCTAGTTCCAGGTCTTGTGTTAGTTCTAGTGATAGTGCAAAACTAGAACTAACACTAGACCGTAAACTAGAAACATTCGGATTTAGCCGCACGTCTCTCAAGACGGCTAAACCCGAATGATTCTAGTTCTAGGTCTTGTGTTAGTGCTAGTGTGAAGTAGAAATATTCGGGTTTAAGTCTAGTGTTAGTTCTAGTTTTAGTGCAATAAAAATATGCAACATAGTGACATCTTATGCTTATCCAAATGTCTCTGTTTCTAGGTCTAGTGTTAGTTCTACTTTTTTTTCAATAAAATTATACCACAATCTAACACTACACAACATTTAAAATTAGAACTAACACAAGAACTAGAATCATTCGAATTTAGCCGTTTTGACAGACGTGCGGCTAAACACGAATGTTTCTAGTTCTAGGTCTAGTGCTAGTTCTAGTGATAGTACTAGTGTAAAACTAGAACTACACTAGAACTAGAAAGTATTGGGTCTTCAACCCAACCCGGAATTTACAACCCACCTTCTGCTCCATGCCCAACCCGACATTTTTGAAATTTGTACTAGTTTAAATGTTAATTAACCTAAATCAAAGTGGAATTTCCACACAAAATTCTGAAATAAATCAGTAAATTAGGTGGATTTTTAAGCGACATGATGATTCTTGAATTATGTATACCAAAATTTGATTTTTTTTTTTAATTTTAAGAAAATTTATTGGCTCGATCTTATTTTGATCCCCGAGAAGCTTACCCGGACGGTAGTAGCAAAGAAAAACGTCGCGCGGCAATATCCCACGCGTTAAGCGGAGAAGTTTCCGTTGTTCCATCATCTCGTCTTTTAGCTTTGTTAGGACAAGCGTTGAAATGGCAACAACAACAAGGATTGTTACCCCCCGGAACAACGATTGATTTATTCCGAGGAAAAGCAGCGATAAAAGACCAAGAAGATGAACAATTCCCGACCCAAATGGCCAAACAAATTAAGTTTGGTCAAAAATCGCATGTTGAATGCGCTCGATTTTCCCCAGATGGGCAATATTTAATCACCGGAAGTGTTGATGGTATCATTGAAGTTTGGAATTTTACGACGGGAAAGATTCGAAAAGATTTAAAGTACCAAGCGCAAGAAAGTTTTATGATGATGGAGCACGCCGTGCTTTGCATGGCTTTTTCGAGAGACTCAGAAATGTTAGTAACGGGATCTCAAGCTGGAAAAATTAAAGTCTGGCGGATCACCACCGGGCAATGTTTGAGAAAAATCGAAAAAGCCCACATGAAAGGAATTACTTGTTTACAATTCTCTAGGGATAACAGCCAGGTTTTAAGCGCGGGGTTTGACCAAATGATTAGAATTCACGGTTTAAAATCGGGGAAGATGTTGAAGGAGTTTAGGGGGCACACTTCGTTTGTTAATGAAGTGATTTTTACTCAAGATGGACATAACATTTTAAGCGCTTCTTCCGATGGGACCGTTAAAGTTTGGAGCATAAAAACCACGGAATGCGTAAATACAATCAAAGCTTTGGGGGTAAACGACATCACCGTTAATAATATACATAACTTTGCGAAAAATCCTGAACATTTCGTTGTTTGCAATCGAAGCAACACAGTTGTTATTATGAATTTACAAGGACAGGTTCTTAAAAATAATAATATTAAAAAATCTTTAATTAATTAATAATGAATTTTAAGATTGTTCGATCGTTCTCGAGTGGTAAACGAGAAGGGGGCGATTTTGTTTGTTCCACGGTCTCACCAAGAGGCGATTGGATTTATTGTGTTGGTGAAGACTTGGTTTTGTATTGTTTTTCGACTAATTCCGGAAAATTAGAAAGGACTCTCAATGTATTTTATTTTATTTCATTTTGATTCATTTAAATCTTAAATTTATGGTTTTAGGTGCATGAAAATGATGTTATTGGCATCGCTCATCACCCTCATCAAAATTTATTGTGCTCCTATAGCGAGGATGGATTAGTGAGGTTATGGAAGCCTTAATTTGACAGGAAAATTTTTTTTTAGGTTAAGTGTATTTCAATTTAAATTTTTTTATAAAATAAATATAAAAAAAGTGTGTGAATTAATCAATTCATGTTTTGGTAATAATCCTTTATTCTCCATATATTTTTATATTTATTAAACATAAATAATTTTTTTTTTGTTTTTGAAGAATATTCGATAGATGTCGCTTTATGTTTCAATTAAATTTAAAAGTATTAATAATTTTAGAAGAATTAAAATAAGATAATATATGCTTTTGTATATAAAAGTATAATGTATATAATTAATATCATGTTAAAAAAAATTAAGTATTTTTAATTTTAAATTATATAGTTGTATAAATTTTGTAATAGATGTCGTTGATGGCGCCGTCGAATCGTTCGTGCACGGAACTCTCTTTTTCCGATCGGCCATAGTGCAAAATGGCGTCGCCTACTAGATAATCGTAAGGAATGTGCCTGTATTTCGTGCGCGAAGTGTAACAATAGGAAACGAAGATAAAGGGCGTAGGACCGGAAACGGACACCTAACGATTTGATGCTTGTCAAAGATGCAGAATGTGGCGCAGGGCAACGCAGCAGACAGTCCGAAAATAGCCGAGAACATTACCATTACCAGCAACGGCGAAACCAACGGCGGCCCAACAACCGGCCGTACAACACTAACAACCGCGGCTACTCCCCTATCATCGAATTCTAGCCCCGCCAAATCTGAAACGGAAACTTATTCGGAACATAGACGATTTATGTCCGACACATCCGAGAGCGAAGAGGACAGCGTATCCGAGGTAGGCGAGAACAATTTTGTTAACCCCCCAAAAAAAAAACAAAAAAAATGGGGCCTAAACCCACGACGAAACACAATCAAATCATCAAAGATTAAAAAGCTAAACCAAATACAAGTCTTCTCTTTATTATTATTTTTTTAATAACAATTCCATCAAAAGAGAACTTTATGTGCAGTATCAATGAACTTACACCTTACAGAGACATCTTGTGGCTATGTTTTTAACAACATTTAAAGACCGCGACATTTAAATCTCGTTCCTTTGTCTTTTATTAAATCAAAAAATATTTTCATTTCATTCAAATTATGAATGAAAAAACCATCAAAACGAAGTTACAATAACAAAAACTGATACGTCTTAAATTTCTTGTTTGTTATTGGTGGAAAGAATCTGCTTTCTCTTTTTGTTATTTAATTCTTTTTTTTTACATAGAATTGTTTTGTTTATACTATTTTGATTATTAAGTTTTTTTTTTGATTTTGAGGTTATCTTTGTGATTCATTCTTGAGAATGTGCGTGTTGGATGATGCAGAAACACGTTTACGATTCTTAGTAGTTTAGAACCGTTCCTCTCAAGGTTCTAGAATTTTTTACAACGATTCAATTGTTAAAATAGATATTATTAATAAGTTTAAATCGCATTCTTTTGATTATTAATCACAGGAATTAACAAATTATAGGTTGATAAAGAAATCGGAATTGAACGGAAATTGACGAATTGCTTAAATTTATCATATTTTTTTATTGATATTGAATAGTGAGTGTTCCTCCCTCGGTGTTTCAACATATTGATTTGTTCAAAAATAAGGTATTTATAAATGTTTAAATCCGGGATGTTCAAAAATAAGGTATTTATATGTTTAAATTTAAATTTTATTAATTGAAAATAAGTTTAAGTAATAAAGTTTATTATTTCCCAAATTCTTCTTCTTTTTTTCAGGTAAATTTTTGATTTAATTGATTTGAAAAGGAATTTTCTGTTCTTTCTTTGTTAAAAATATCATTTTAATCACGAAAAATAAAATTGAAATCATTTTATTGTGATTTTTAATCTTAGAATTAAAGAATACGATAATAGATGGCACCACAATTCTTGACATTTGTTTATTATTAACCGCGGAAAGATGCCGTTAGTTAGAAATTCCTTAGAAGCCTAATTTTCCAAATTAAATTTAAAAACATGTTACTAATGATTCAATCAATCAATCATCCCCATGTACATACAAGTATCAACATTTTCGTGATGTGTATGATGTTTTGTCTAGTAATTGCAAGACTTTCCAAGTAATAAATGCCTTATTTGGTTCATATACTGAAAGCGACCTCGGCCAAATTAGGCAGAATTCTACAATTCTTGAATTTAAGATTAGCTGAGTCTGCTTGCAGCCGAAACGTTGTAATGTGTTGATCATTTTGGATTTATATGGAATTAATTGTAGATTAAATTAACACACTTAATTGTAATTGCGTATCTTCTAGTCATCATTTTCCAGTTTTTAGCCTTTCTTCTGATATCAAGTCTCCTTTTAACAGTGTCTAGTTTTCTGCCAACAGTATGTAATCATCTCCTTGCAGTATCTGGTTTTCTGCCAGTGATAGCAAGTCCTTCACAAGCTCAATTTAGTCTTTCATTGGTAGTATCTAGTCTTATTCTGCTTATAATTACACTACAGCTTTTGCATAACTCCTTTTTGCGTTGATACTCTAATGAAAAACTAGATACTACTAAAGAAGGACTAGATATTGCTTGCAGACAACTACGCACTGGTTGCAGAAGACTAAATACTGCCTATCGTTGCTGGAAGAAAACGAGATCCTGCTAAAAAAATGTAATAATCAGCAGTCAACAACATCAATGTATTAATAGTGTATTAGTGACGAATTGATAGTCTACGCGCGATTATAGAAAGATTATTTAAACTGGTTCTATCTATCTGAATATGAAACTTTGATTGAAAGATGGCGGTGAAAAGTGTTGTACAAATCGCTTATCCGATTGCAATTTTAGTGTCAATCACACCTGGTTAAAGTTAACCACTAAGTTGAATGTGTCTGCAAGTCCGCAAAATATCTGTTTTCGATGGTTTCCGAAATGGGGAATCCGCGAACGATTAACAATTTAAATGTACGGCTGATACAACAACTGCTCTTTGTTCAAAACATCGATGAGAGATCGCAGTTTATCTTTTCTTCGAAGAGACATGATCTTTTTGAGTATTTTGGATAAACTTTTGTGACTCATTTCTGATATTCTTTTTGAATTGCTAGCTTGAATACAAATTGATTTTTGACATATAAGAACGATCCAACGTAATACAAAAATCTCAAAAATTAAAGTAGATGTATTCAAAAATGTGTCAACATCATTTGTAAGACAGAACATCAACAATATTTGGTTTTATACAATTATTTACAATTTTAAGCAGTTACGGCTAACAATAAGGTGAGGTAATTTGTTAGATACAGTTAATGTCAGTCAAAATTCTCCAAGAGTAATGTCAAAAGATTCTGAAAATTTTCTGATTCTCCTCTTTTAAATTGGATTGGTTGTAGAGTTGCATAACTTACAAATTTGCAAGATTATATAACTAAAATAGCAGGAGAATTAGTACTTCTAGTGTAAGCATTAGGACATAGCTTGATAAATAGTTTTATGTTATCACTTCCCTCTTCTTTCTCTGCATTTCTTGCTTTCACTTCCGTTTCCATACGCATACATATTGCATATTATAAGTATGCGGAAAGGTTGTCTTCTTATTACATGCTCTATTCCAAAACTTTCTCATACTTCATCGCTAGTCTCCTTGTTTTCTCCAACCTCAATTCATTTCTATACATAGGAGTTTTTCTGCTTTATTCCAAAACTAGCAAATCTTCTCCTAATATTACTTCCCTCTCTTTTCCATCATTCTGCCTAATCTATTCGTCTTTTTAACTCTTTGAACTCTTCTGGTATAAGATTATCAATTTACAAATTAAAAATCATTACTCCCTTCTCTTTAATCTCCCTTCTAAGTCTCCAATATACGCCACAAAAATGATTTGGGTTTAACTGAAGTTTCTGCCAAATTCCTTTGGTCGTCAAAAATTCTTCAAGTTTAGCCTTACGTTTGAATTCTGTTCTGGATGTATCTCTTTGTTCCTGCTTCCATAATTTCTTGTTCATCATATCAAATATACCTTTTTGATCTACAGATTTGATCCTCTTTGGCTCTACAGCCCTAGTTGGGCCCTGGCCAACCTCAGAATATTCTTCCAGTCTTTCTTGTCTCTCGCACTTCTTCGCCATGCTCTTGCTCCTATTAGTTTTAGATTCACCCTCCTTTCAAACACCCTAAGTGTCTCTTCCTCTCGTTTGGCATCCACCCAAGTTTCTGATGCATATGTTAATACCGGTCGTATTAATGTATAGTTTACATTTTGTCTGCTGGGACCGATTTCGCGACCTTAGCTGTATAGATAGGTCAAAAAGCCACAAATTGCGAGGTTTCTCAGGTTATCGGTACATTCTTTAACCAACATGTATAGGCCTGAATTGCCTTTAGAGCATCCCAACTGTCCCTAAAGATGTTTATTCTGTCCCTTATCAATGTTCAAAACGGCGCAGAAGTTTATGGCAAGAACTAGAACCTGAAAAATCGTTGCATCCGAGCTTAAAGACATCCTAATGCAGCTTTTTGGCAAATACCTACTCCGGATCCAATTGTCTTTGAAGTATCGGCGTACCTGCTTCCCTGATTCTGAACATGAACTGGTTAAAATCGTATTTAGTCGTTATAAAATCCGTTTTTATTTGAATTAAGTGGTTTAGACATGAGGATTTCGAGATGTCCTTTGAGGTTACCTTGACCACTTGAGTTTTACTCGAGTTTTTGACCACCAAACTAATGAAGCATGGGTCTGATTATTGCCACACAGACCCAGAGGGCCATTCGTAGTTTAAGAATTACTGACAGAGTTGTTTGATCACTACAAGATTTTGTAATTATGATTCTTCAACAGCTTAATTCCAAATTTACGTTAAGATAATAAACATCTCATATTTACTATATATTTAGAATTTTAAGTTAATCATTAATGCAAACAATTTTATCAGCTGCTTTGATATCAGTATAATCAAACATAAATATTTTGCCATACTTATGGCGCCATTTAAGCCAACGAGTTGTTGATATTGTTGCGTTGCTTGGTTACGCGCTGGTATCCATTAGTTACCGCAATCCGCCATGTTTTTTTGGAAGAAACGAATAGGTTATGTTGAATTAAGTGTCAAAAATAATTAAATCTTTATTATCAGAAATTAATCATAAAATACATGTTTAAGTGCTCTTTTAAATTAAGAGAGAAAGTTTGTGTGGTTAAAAATTTGGTTAAGTGATCGACACTTAGGTTATATGTAAATTATTTTACCAGATTTCCTTTTTATCACTTTGTTGTTTTTCAGATAAAGAAAATGCTTATTTAATACTCTGTTATAGAAGGGGCTTTACTAGATCAAAAGAAATGGTTTATTTCTTCAGGAGAGTTTTGTGCCAATAAAAAGAATTTACTAGAAGAGTTCATCGACCCTATTTTTTTCTATTGCACATAATTGGACCTTCATTCAATGAGGCATGAAGTGATTCATTACGAATTCAGTTTCATTTTTCCTTCTAAAACAATCAAAAATTTTCAAAAAAAATTTGGTTCAATTTTTGCGTCACAAAATCAGAATTTTATTAATTGTTTAATTTTTAACCATGAAAGAACAGAAATAAACCTTTCTACGCGCTTAATAAACAATCTATAAATAACCATTCGTATCTTAAGAAATCTAACCTTAAAAATATTTGTTTTATATCCATTTTTATTTTTCAATTAATAAAAAGTACCGATGCGTTTATAAGAATGCAATTGAATACTTTTCGACTTTGGTAAACGAGTTCAAAGTTCGTTTTATTATAATAACAAATCCGAATGGAAATAAAGTACGCATTTATGAAACGTTTTCTAGGGTTTTTTGGTTTTTAATGTTTTCAAGTTCGTCCGCTGTCATTATAAAAGTGAGGTTATGTTCGAGCTGTCATTCAGTACTTCCGTAATAGGGGCTGGTTTTAACGGTAATTCGCCCGATTTCTAACGTTTTTGCATCGAATTTCGTGCGCCAATCGATTTTTTTTAGTAATTTGCGCGAAAGAGTTGCCGTAAAATGTCTCTGATGTATTAAATAAATCGTCCGCGACCAATAACAAACACACCTATTAAAAGTGGTGTAGAATATAAAAGTGGTGTGTCTGGATTTTTTTTTTGGTTCGGACGATTTTTTTGCGTTGATTGTGTTTGGTACGTGTGGTAATTTGTGTGTACCGAGATGATGGTGTGATTCAGGTGGAGTCGTTTGTCATTGATCAGGAGTTTGAGGAGGATCCCCAGGTTGAGGCCGCCAAATTTCTACTCAGCGCCCAAGAGGACCGCTCTGTTGATCCCGAGACCCAGGCTCGATTGGAAGCCCTCCTCAAGGCGGCAGGTGAGATAATGTTTAAATTATTTGTGTGTTTTGTTGACCTAATTAGAAATTTTTGATTAAAAATGTTTTTTTTGTTTGTTTTTAGGTATCAGTCAGTTTGCAACAAAGGATGGTAAGCATTTAGCCGATCCCGAAGTATTAAGACGATTGACATCAAGTGTATCGTGCGCCTTAGACGAGGCTGCAGCAGCATTGACCCGCATGCGATCAGACAGCACGCGTGGTGGCCAGGCGGAGAAGACCTCTCTGGTGGAGGCGTGCACGGATGGCGACGTCGGCACCGTACGGAAGCTGCTGACAGAGGGCCGGTCCGTGCACGAGACGTCCGAAGAAGGCGAGAGTCTACTATCCCTGGCTTGTAGCGCCGGCTATTACGAACTCGCACAGGTACCAACCAACATTATTTAAATCAAATTAAACTAAAAAATGCAATTTCTTAGCCATAAAAAAATTTCTTGGTTCATAAAACGTTGAGATTAGATGATAACTAACTTGATTGTGTACTTTTTACGCGAAGCAGGTGTTATTAGCGATGCACGCCAACGTGGAAGATAGAGGCATCAAAGGGGAATGTACCCCTTTGATGGAAGCAGCGTCCGCGGGACATTTGGACATTGTACGTCTTTTGGTAGTCCATGGAGCTGATGTAAATGCCCAATCAACGTCAGGTAAATTAATAAATCACCCCCAAATCGCGTTTTATTACAACTAATTTTTAATAATCAAGGAAATACGCCTTTAATGTATGGATGCGCCGGTGGGCATCAAGACGTCGTAAAATTTCTCTTAGAAAACGGGGCGAACGTCGAAGACCACAACGAAAACGGTCACACACCCCTCATGGAAGCGGCATCCGCGGGTCATGTCGGTTTAGCTAAGATCCTCTTAGAACACGGGGCCGGCATAAACACCCACTCAAATGAATTTAAAGAATCCGCGTTAACGCTGGCTTGCTATAAAGGCCACCTAGATATGGTTAAATTTTTGTTGGAGGCGGGGGCGGATCAAGAACACAAAACGGATGAGATGCACACCGCTTTAATGGAGGCCTCGATGGACGGTCACGTTGAAGTCGCCAGGCTCCTTTTGGACTCTGGCGCGCAAGTTAATATGCCCACCGATAGTTTCGAATCTCCGCTTACGTTGGCCGCGTGTGGGGGGCACGTCGATCTTGCGTTGTTGCTTATTGAGAGGGGCGCTAATATCGAGGAGGTTAACGATGAGGGATATACCCCGCTAATGGAAGCGGCTCGCGAGGGTCATGAAGAAATGGTGTCTTTATTGCTCAGTCAAGGTAAAAAATTAAATTGATTTAGTTCAAAATCCATTTTGTTCTCTTTGTACTTATTAACATTTTTACAGTTTTCAATTTTAATTTATTTCTGTCCAACTTTATTTTATTGTGAAAAATGTTCATCACTTTAATTTTTCGACATTGCTTCTGAGGATGACTTTAACTGAGGCTTCTGAGGCTATTACTTAAAACCTATTACCATTACTGAGGCTATTATCTATAGCTAGTATAAAATCGATTTCTTGGAATATGAGTATGAAAATTTCTCAAAGTGTTAATAAAAGTGTCCTCTTTCCAATGAACCAACCCATTTTGAAAAATAACTTTTGGTTTTTGAGAAAACAATATTTGAAGTTTTGATCAAATTTTCGATGTTTCAATTTTCATCGATAATTTTCAAAATTCGCTATAAAATTAATTTCTTGAAGGATCCTTGTGGAAATATTACCAATTATTAATTAAAGTATCCTCTTTTTAATGCAAAAAGCCGTTTTGAAAAATCACCTTTAGTTCTTGAGAAATAAATTTTTGAAATAATCGACAATTTTTCCAATTTTGCAATTTCCGCCGATTAAATTTTAATAATTCGTATAAAATCGATTTCTTGGAATATGAGTATGCAAATTTCCCAAAGTGTTAATAAAAGTGTCCTCTTTCCAATGAACCAACCCGTTTTAAAAAATAACTTTTAATTTTTGAGAAAACAATATTTGAAGTTTTGATGTTGTAATTTTTTGAAGGGGATGCTGAATATCCGGTATCCGGCTATAATAACCAATATAAGTACAAAGAAAACATCTTTATTTTATTTTTATTGTTAAAAAATTAAAAATTTTATTAATTTATTATTTTTGTTGTATCTTAGGAGCAAATATAAACGCCCAAACTGATGAGACCCAAGAAACAGCTTTAACATTAGCATGTTGCGGAGGTTTCACCGAAGTAGCGGATTTCCTCTTAAAAGCAGGGGCAGATATCGATTTAGGCGCCTCAACCCCCCTTATGGAAGCAGCGCAAGAAGGCCACTTAGAATTAGTGAAATACCTACTTGAGAATAACGCAACCGTTCACGCCCAAACACAAACGGGCGATACGGCTTTGAGTTACGCTTGTGAGAATGGACACACGGACGTAGCAGATTTGCTGTTACAATACGGGGCCGACCTTGAGCACGAATCGGAAGGAGGAAGAACGCCTTTGATGAAAGCTTGCAGGGCCGGCCATCTTTGTACCGTGCAGTTTTTGATATCAAAAGGGGCCGATGTGAGAAGGCAGACGTCTAATAATGATCACACGCCGCTTTCGTTGGCTTGCGCCGGCGGGCATTTAAGCGTTGTCGAATTGTTGTTGACGCATCGAGCCGACCCTAATCACAAGCTCAAAGATAACTCGACCATGCTAATCGAAGCCGCTAAAGGAGGTCATACAGCCGTCGTCCAATTACTCCTAGATTATCCCCATTCGATGAACTCAATGATGCTGAATCAACAAGGCGCTGCGGCTGCCGCGGCCGCCACCAATTTATCGATATTACCCGGACAAGTTCGCGATTCGCCGCTTTCATCTACTTCATCCCAACCAGAAATTGATTTCTTTCAACCAACACCCAATATCTTTGGATCCACTGGTAATAATTAGTTTAGTTGTATTAGTTTCGATTTCGAAGAGTTAATTTGATTTCGAAATTAGTTTTACAAGAAGTTCCTGAAGCAGTGAGGATCATAACCCAAGAAGAGGCTTCCACATCAGTCCAAGACATGACCAAACTGGTGCACGGCGCTGATTCTTCGGGACGTCTCGCGGACATCCAACACCAACATCACCACCAACAGGCGTTCGACGGTAGTTTAACGTCTGCGGAAGCCCAACAAGTTCGAACGCAACCTGTGCCTGTTGCGGAACTTGAAGATCACGACGTGTTCGCCACGTCAGCGACCGTTCATTTCCTTTCCAGCGAAACGGAACGATTAAAAGATGATGAAATCGACGAAGGGGGCGATCAGAAAAAGCAACAGATTTTAGAGGAATTACACGTATGTTATATTTTAATGAAATTATTTGATGTTTATGGGAATAATTTTTTTTAGCAGGTAGATAGAGAGTTCCTTGGGAAGCAGCAGACGCACAATCACCTGCTGTTGTCGCAGTATGCTGTTCCTCCAGAGCAGTGTCAACAAACTGCTAACACCTCACTGCCACACACTCTCAATATTGATATTGCTATGCAACAACAGCAAGGTAAGAATTAAAGTAAAATTCCTTGACAGGCGATTTGCAGTCTGTCGCTCGTCTCGGAATAGTACCATTATAATAATGCAATTAAAAATTATTAAAAAAATGAATTAGGCTTGGGAACAAGCATGCCTGGAACAATGTTTTCAAGTAGTAACCTGCAAGTGCACAACGCCTTCTATACGGGGGCAACTTGTTTGCAATCGCCGGGTGTACCCTTAAAATTAGCCGTCGGAAACGAGTCGAATTCCGGTTTTGCGCCAGCTCAAGCACCGCCAACATTCTATTTTGCGCCATTGAATAGTTCGGTGGCGGTACCGCTCTCTTCTGCGACAACAACGAGCCCCGCCGCCGCCGCCGCCGCGCAACCGGTCAAAGTGCAAACCGTCGCCTCGCACGCCGAAGTCAACCAAAGTACGGCGATTAGCGATCGACCGAAAGCCAAACCCGTCTCGAAGAAAGATTGCAAGAACCTGCGCAAACAACCGTATCAGCCGAACTTGTACGGCGCGGCGCAACCTTTGCTCTTCCCACAACCGTTAACGCAAACCCAACCGAATACGACCACTCAAACTCAACAGCAACCGTCTCAACAAAACGGTCAACAAGACGCTGGGAAATTAAGCGTCGTGGAAACTGTAAACGTTCAACAATTAGATTTGGAAACTTTGGATCAAACGTTTGATTTGAAAGATGAGGCGCAAGAAAATTTGTTGACGGCTCAGATTTTACATCAGATTCATAATTCTCCACAACTAAATTCTATAAGGGCTGCATTTGTTGGGTCACCCGTGCAGTCTTATCCAACAACATTAGACGAGACCATGATCGCGACTTTAGCAGCACACCAACAAGAACCCCCACCTACAGATGTATCTCGAGTGGAATATTTCGCCGTTCCAACCGGAAATACCACTCAATTACAGGTAATTAAAAATATGCAGGATATTTTCCGCATCAGAGCATTATAAGGTTGTAGGATAATTTAACTTAAAACGATCTATTTGGGGTGAACGGTCAAATAAAGTACAGGAACAACTTTTTACAATTTGCTAATATATTTCGGTTGTTGAATTACAACCTTTATCAGAGCGAATTTATATTTGCTGTTAAAGAGAAAAAATTTCTTAAAATGATAGAAATTTTATAAAATATAATTAAAAACTTAATTGTTTATGAAGTTGGTAAACTAAAAACGTTATTGAATATATTGCGCTTTTTACGTCGAGCGTATGTGGACAACCTGGTGTGCGATTCGTTTTGACGCATGCGAACATATTCGTCACACCCATAATCTTTATTTTTAAAATCGTCATGCCCAGTGCGTAAAAAATGAATTACAATTTCTGCTTATTAGGTTTATTTCATTATTAAAACAACATAATAACTATCACTAGAACAACACTAGACCTAGAAACTTTCGAGTTAAGTCGTGCGTCTTTGCACTAATATCGTCATTCCTTCCTTTTGTTTTTATAACAAAAGACGCATAGTTTTGTCGGCTTTTGTTTTGTTGTAGGTGGAATGATATCTCGGAAATGTCGCTCTAGTAGCCAAGAAGATCTTGGTGTCCTTGATCGTGTCATATTTTTCGCCAAGCATTTCACCAAGTTTTCTATGAATTTGGTAACAATTTATGGTAGTTATGTTCAAAAAGTGGCGAAATATTTTCAAGTAAAATTTTTTTGGGCTCCTGGCAGAGGAATAAAAATATAAGTATTGTCCGCTAGGTCTATTTTACAACTGCTATAGGCTTTTTTTACTGTATGTCCTCTTTTCAAAATTACATCTTGAGTGTCGTTGTCGTGGAAGGAGCTTACTATTATCATATCTTTTTTGTCTTTCCATTTCAACATCATCTGCTTCTTTCTAAATTGTTCAATTTGTTCACCTCTTACTACTTTTGTGTGTTTAACTTCTTCTGTGATTCCTCTCCTGTTTGATCGGACAGTTCCTACACAGTCAGTCTTACATTTCGCTAGTTTATCACTGAGATCAATACTTGAGTAATAATAAACAGTAGTCATCCCAGAAGTGAATGTGTAAGTTCCAAAACAATGATAGTTTTGGAACTTACACAGATATACAGAAGATACCAGTTCATCAGGGTAATGAGAACCATATAACGTATCTTCACCAGTGTATATGATAAAATGTGGTCGAGGAAGATCAGAATCGCTCCAAGGAATGTCAACAAAAGCATCTACATTTTTATTTTCACTTTCAAAATCGTGATCTGAAGAATCACCAGAAGCATCGCTCTAACTTTCGCTGTAATCGTCGTCTGTATCGGAATCTTCAGAATCACACATATTTACATCTAATTTTTTTTTGCCATGTCTAAATGATAAGAAATGTGTTTTAAAAGCGAACAGCGAATTAAAACGTGAAACCAGTTCAAACATGTGTTAGACCCATTGAGGTCTTATATATAATCTAGAGAGCGTATGTGGTGGTGGTGGGGGTAATCAGAAAGTCAGACATGTTGGATGTACCGACCTGAACTTAGCTATAGTTTCAAGTTGTTACATATTGTTATTTTTATTAAAATTTGATTTTTGTTGAAAGTTTTCGAATTCTTTTCGTTTCACACATGTTTTTTATAATTTGGTAGGTTGGACGATTATTTACAACAGTCCATAAAATGTTTCTGGTTACTTGACTTGGAATTAACAATTAAAGACCTCGGTGTAAGGGGACAACTCCTTGTCTTGATAAATGGAGCTACTCCCTTCTTACACAGAGGTCTTCAATTGAAGTTCAAGTAAAGTTTATTATTAAAGACGGTTCAGTTTTTTTTAATAAACTAACAATTATTTATAAGCAAAGGTTAACGTGATCAATCAGAATTGCTTTAAATATTTTCTTCTTAGTTTATGTTAATTATAAGGGTTATGGCTTTCCAGTTTATAATAATGTAAATTCTTGCATAAGTATATATAAGAATTTCGAATTTCCCGCTAAGTTGGTACATCTAACATGGCGACCTTTCTGGCTTCATTTTAGGCGTGGTGGGGACAACAGCATACGCACTCTAGATTATATATAAGAACTCAATGGTTAGACCGAAGTCTATACTAGCTAAATATGGAATATACGTGGCGAAAATTGTCTTGCCTATTGAATATCACTTTAATTTCTAAGATGCGAATATATTCGGCGTACCCACTTCGCAGCGACTTTCGTGATGACGATTATATACGACATAGCGCTTAAGAGGTTAAAATATGGAAATAAATATTAAAATTATTAAACAATGCGCATGCGTTAAAATGTAAAGAGAACACCGTTATTGAAATTCAAATTTAAAAATTTAAACATGATGATAAAAGTATACAAAACAAAAAATTTGAGGAACCCCAGCGATATAAATTCACAACCTAGAAATGATTTTAGTTGTTTAAATTAATAATCAATTTATAAAACTTTAAACATGGATGAAATGTTAATTATCAATATAGGAAAAGTCTTATACAGGGTGTCACACAAAAAACGCCCCAAGCTGTAACTCTGTCATTTATAATCCGATTTTCATGACCGAGGCATCAAATGAAATGGTTTGATGAATACTATGGTTCATGCTACAAACAATTTTTTTTCAAGGCCATCTTCAATTTTAAGCGATTATTAACTTTTGTTTTTCAAATTGCTCCATAATTTTTCTTTACGTCATTAGATAGAGATTGTTTTTCTGAATCCACTGATGTGCAATACATCCACTTTGAATGTAATTTGTATATACTCTGTATATACAGGTTGTCGCACAAGAACGCTGTAAGCTGTAACTCTGTCATTTACCTTCCGATTTTTATGAACGAGGTATCAAATGAAATGGTTTGATGAATGCTATGATTCATGCTACAAATAAACTTTCCAACGCCATCTTCGATTTCAAGCGATTATCAACTTTTGATTTTCAAATTGCTCGGTATGTTTTTCTGCACGTTATGTGATAGAGATTTTTTTCTGAGCCCATCGATGTACAATATATTAACATTAACTGTAATTTTAGCAGAAAAAAACAATTAAAACATTTTCCGAACATTGTCTTAGTCACTTCTGTAATACTGCAGTGTACCATGGAAAAAAAATAACACGCAAAACTGATAACAGTCATTAAATGCCATTTCAATGCCCGAAGTAGTTGTAAATGATACTTATAAGTTGGTTTTTCATTTATCCCATAGCACACTACAGTATAATACAAGTGACTTTTAGAGAATGTTCAGAAACTATTTTAATGTTTTTCTATGCTATAATTATAATTAATGTTGATGTATTGTACATTAATGGATTCAGAAAAAAAAACTGTATCCAATAGCGTGAAGAAAAACATACCGAGCAATTTGAAAATCAAAAGTTGTTAATCGCTTGAAATTGAAGATAGCGTTGGAAAAAGTTTATTTGTAGCATGAATCATAGTATTCATCAAACCATTTCATTTGATAGCTGGGTCATGAAAATTGGAAGGTAAATGACAGAGTTACAGCTTGCGGCGTTCTTGTGTGGCACCCCTATATACAGGTGTCTTTTCTCTGCTAAAATTATATTCAAAATGGATGTATTGTACACTCGTGATCTTTTTAAATGAAAATTAAAGAAGGATGGCTAGCTCGGAGTCGGGGACGGTCGGGATGGTTTACTTTAAAACCCGGCGCAAGGCTAAGGGGCTGGAGTAATCACGACGGCCAAAGTAGGTAGAGAAGGAGTAATTTAGAATTTGTCACTACGGGATTTTTAAATAGGTTTATTGTAATAGAAACCAGCTAAATATTCGATTAAATTATCGAAAATAGCATAATAAATTATTTAATGTATTATGTTTTATTAAAAAATGATTTTTGGAAAACAAATAAAAATTGTTCCTAATTTAAATCAATTTTATGATGATAACTATTAAAATATAAATACAGAAAAAATATTAAATAATAATATTATTACAGTAAAACTTAATTTAGATGATTTTCGAACAATTGATTCGATTGTATTGATTGTGCAGTTTCAATTATTTTGTGTTTCAATTATTGTTGCTAATTTAAATCAATTTCATGATGATAATATATTAAGATATTAATACTGATTAATTACTATTTTAATCATTTAATCCTTATTTTGAACATTTTTAGATGACTTGAAGACAATTTTGGATTATCTTAACTAATTTTAAATGAGTTTACTAGATTTTAAGCGGTTGCAGCTAATTTTATGTGTTCCTAGAAGATTTTGCAAGGTTTTAAAACATTTCAGATAATTTTCAACCAGTTTAAATCGATTCAGCAATTTCACGCCATTTTAGATTGATTTTCAACAATCTTAGGTGAGTTTAGATGATTCCAGATGATGTTATAACGTTTTGAACTATTTTTTGAACATTTTTGGATGATTCTAAGATAGTTTTAGATGATTTTGACTGGTCTGAGTGGCTGCAGTGGTCCTACAAGATTTTAGAGAATTTTGAATGGTTCAAGTTGATTTTAAACGATTTCAAATGATTCTCAACCATTTTAAACTGATTAAATAATTTATACCAATTTTAAACTCAATTTCAACAGTTTTAAGTCATTTTAAATTCCAGATGGCATTATACCGTTTTAAACTATTTTTTGAAAATTTTTGTGTGATTTTAAGTCGGTTTTGGATGATTTTAACTGATCTTAAATGATTTTACTAAATATTAAGCTTCTGCAGATGATTTTACGTGAGTATAGAAGATTGATCTTCAACCATTTTAGATAGTTTCTAAATGATTTTACTATATTTTAATTGATTTTGAGCCGCTGTAAACTGATTTACAAGATTTTAAACGATACAACGTTTTAATTGTTAACGATTCATTTAAATAGCATTTTTTTGAGTTGGTCTAATTTGGGCTATATAAGGTAAATTATTCTCAAAAGCAAAAGGGGAAGAAAGTGCTTCTTTTCGACTTCAAATTGGATTTTATGGTTTCAGATTCACCGTTTACTGGTGAATGGTCCTCTATTATCATCATAAAACTTATTTATGAAATTAATGAATTCTTGTATTGACAAGGAGGTTTACCATTAATAGAAACAATTAACTGCGCACAATCAATGCAATCGAATCAATTGTTCGAAAATTATCTAAATTAAGTTTTACTGTAATAATATTAATATTTTTTCAGTATTTATATTTTAATATGTTTTCATCATGAAATTGATTTAAATTAGGAATAATTTTATTTGTTTTCCAAAATTCATTTTTTAACAAAACATAATACATTAAATAATGTATTCATTTAATCCAATATTTAACTGGTTGCATTTACAATAAACCTGTTTAAAAATCCCGTAGTGATAATTTTAAATTACTCATTTTCTACTTGCTTTACCCGTTTCTAGCCATCCTTCTTTACTTTTCATTTAAATACAGTACATCAGCGGATTCAGAAAAACAATCTCTATCCAATGACGTAAAGAAAAATATATAGAGCAATTTGAAAAACAAAAGTTAATAATCGCTTAAAATTGAAGACGGCCTTGGAAAAAATTTATTTGTAGCATGAATCATAGTATTCATGAAACCATTTCATTTGATATCCCGCTCATGAAAATCGGAATGTAAATGACAAAGTTACAGCTTGGGGCGTTTTTTATGTGACACCCTGTATAAAAACAGGAAAACAAAATGTCTAGGGAGCTAGCCTGTTGTTGTTCTTATCGTTAGAAATGATGTAAGCTAAACGTTGCTTAAAAGGTTTCTGTTATGATAGTTCTTTTCAATGTTTAAAACTTTGACATTATCAAAATCAAATCTATGTCCTGTGTCTGTGGTATGTTGTGATAGAGTACAGGAGGATTTTAATAACCTACAATCGCTCTTGTGTTTTGAAATCCTACTTTTTAGCTACTGGTTGGGTTGCTCAATGTATTTGCCATTGCATTCGCCACACGAAATGCAATAGATGACACCTGATTTTAATAGTGGATCAGTGCTGTCCTTGACTCTAGTGAAATATGAAAAAGTCATGTACGTTTTTATGCTTTTATTGATAAATAATTTAAAACTCTGCCTGACGCGTTTCGTCGATCTACGCCATCTTCGGAGGCTCTACAAAATTAAACATAAAGGTACAGAAATCATTTTGTGCTGTTACAATTGTAAATATTACTAATGTGAGTAGAATTTTTGAAATTAACATTAAGATTAACAAACTGAATATAAATTAAATGAAACAAAGTGTAACAAACTTAAATATTATTAAAAAACATGTGTCTAACTTACTTCGTCCTTTTTGGTTATGTCAACATAAAATATAAGTCACTCTATCCATGTGTTCAATTAAACAAAGGAACAAAGTTGGAACTTCATGAACAGTATGAAATAGATAGATTAAGAAAGACTAAGGCAGACATAATATGTTAGAATGATCAGACACAATTGAACAAGATACCACTTTACACCTTCCTCAAATACCCTTTCAAAAAAAAACCCCATGATGCCGAGGGTTTCTTCATCTCGGCTACTCTCCCCCTATCCTACCTAAAACCCCCTTCCCCTCCTCCCAAGATGACGTAGATCGCCGAAACGCGTCAGGCAGAGTTTTAAATTATTTATCAATAAAAGCATAAAAACATACATGACTTTTTCATATTTATACATATTGATAACAACGATCCAGAAAATGAAAAATCTAGTGAAATATTTCTGCAATTTGTTATCGTAACAATCCACCACTTTGATGTTGTCAATATTCTTGAAGATTTTTTAAATTTTTCCCGTAAGTTCATTCACATAAGGAATTTTACGATATTTAACAATCTGTTCAGTTGTGTTTGTTGTTGTATTTAATTTATTTCCTATTTTAATTTTCCAACCTATTTTATAAAATTTCTATCATTTTAAGAAATTTTTTCTCTTTAACAGCAAATGTAAATTCGCTCTGATGAAGGTTGTAATTCGACAACCGAAATGTATTAGCAAATTGTAAAAAGTTGTTCCTGTACATTATTTGGCCGTTCACCCCGAGTAGGATATTTTATTCTAAAACGATTTTTCTAATACATTTTTTTCGAAATGTTTATAATAACCGCACGGGAACTGTTTTTAGACGTCCAATCGAAAATCAGATTCAGGTAATCGGCCCAAACGCCGAAAGGATCAAAACAACGTGTACTTACCAATAGATTCGACACGGGAAGAGAAATAAACTTTTTCGGTGAATCAAAAATCCGCTATTGGAGAATAGCGGATGATTTTAAACAATTCCCGAGCGATTTTATTAGAAAGATCGCTCCAGAATAATGTATCCTACAACCGTATAATGCTCTGATGCGGAAGATACCGGACACCCTGTATTTATTATTTCTTTTTATATCGTTTGATTGATTTTTTGTGTGTTTAGGTACAACACACTTTATATCCATATGAACATTACCTCCCTGGAGTTGGTTTAGGGACTGTTGGCACCATATCCAACAAAGAACAAAGTGGCGCAATCTACCAAGCTGGATTTCAAGCGGGGATTAATCTTATGCAACAACAACTCGGTACGTTTAACTTTAATTTTTGTTAAGGGTGTGTTACGAGTTGTTTTATTAACCTAAATCCTAATTAACCATCTAAAAAATAAAATTAGCATGTCCGACTGTTTCTTCAACCGACACTGTCACAACGGCAACTGTAATTCCGGCCACTTTAGTCCCAGCAACGGTTGCTACGATTCAAGGAACGGCCGCGCAGTACAACACTCAAACCTTGCCAACTTCTTGTACTCACAGGGTCGTTCCGCCCGGAGCGATCCCCACCCACCACTGCCAAGTGCCGTGCACTGGTCAACATCACCATCAATCGTTACAAGTGCAAGCACAACAACAACAGCAACAACAAGCCCATCAAGTTCAAGCGGCTACCCAAACCCAACCTTCAAACGTCGTAAACGATGGGAAGCGACAGACTAAATCGGTTGGGTCGCAGAATTATACGAGTAGTGGCGGTGGTGGGGGTAAGAAGAAAGGGAAGATGTTGATGCATAGGTATCAAGATCCGAATCAAACTCAACAAAATGGAGGGATTCAACAGGGACAAGGGAATCAAATCGACCCAAACGCTGGTAAGTGAATTAAATTGAGGTTGGGTTTTTTTAACTAAGTGATAACTTAAATAACTTTTCAATATAATATATTGAAGACTAATATATTATAGAGATAAATTCTTTTCATTAACAGTGAATCAGTACACTGGTACACCATCTCAAGGATGTCAAATGGCTGTGGCTGTCCCCCCACCAGGTTATTGCATGGATGTAGACTCCGAAACCGAAAGTAATCACGATACAGCCTTAACCTTAGCATGCGCTGGTGGACACGAAGAACTCGTAGAACTTCTCCTTCAAAGAGGCGCCGACATCGAGCACAGAGACAAAAAGGGTTTTACTCCTTTAATATTAGCAGCCACTGCCGGGCACGAAAAAGTCGTTGAAATTCTTTTGAATCATAGCGCGGACATTGAAGCGCAATCAGAAAGAACTAAAGACACCCCATTAAGTCTTGCGTGTTCTGGAGGGAGATACGAGGTAAGTTATTAATTTTGATTCGTTTATTTGTTGACAAAAATGGGTTGATTTTATCTAAAAAGGTGGTTGAGCTTCTCTTAAATCGAAACGCAAATAAAGAACATCGCAACGTATCCGACTACACCCCGCTAAGTTTGGCCGCTTCCGGCGGTTACGTGAACATTATCAAATTGTTATTAAACAATGGGGCCGAAATTAATTCCCGCACGGGCAGTAAACTTGGGATATCACCGTTGATGTTAGCTGCCATGAACGGCCACACCGCCGCCGTTAAACTCCTCTTGGACATGGGAAGTGATATAAACGCCCAAATCGAAACTAATCGCAACACCGCCTTAACTTTGGCTTGCTTCCAAGGAAGACACGAAGTGGTTAGTTTGCTTCTGGATCGAAAAGCAAACGTTGAACATCGCGCAAAAACGGGTTTGACGCCTTTGATGGAGGCCGCCAGCGGTGGATACGTCGAAGTTGGTCGCGTTTTACTAGATAAAGGGGCCGATGTTAACGCGACGCCCGTTCCATCGTCAAGAGATACGGCTTTAACAATAGCGGCCGATAAAGGCCACGTGAGATTCGTCGAATTGTTGTTGTGTCGAGGAGCTTCCGTCGAAGTTAAAAACAAAAAAGGTAATTCCCCGTTGTGGTTGGCAGCAAACGGGGGTCATCTAAGCGTCGTCGAGCTTCTTTATAATTTAAACGCGGATATTGATTCTCAAGATAACCGGAAAGTCTCTTGTTTGATGGCCGCGTTCCGGAAGGGACACGTAAAGGTGGTCAAATGGATGGTTAATCACGTGACGCAATTTCCGAGCGATCAAGAGATGATCAGATATTATTCCACGATTAGTGATAAAGAGCTTCTTGATAAATGCCAGGAGGGGGTTAATATAATACGAGCTGCTAAAGATACTCAAGCTGCGAAAGCAAATAAGAACGCAACGATTTTATTGGAGGAGTTAGATATGGAGAAAAACCGAGAGGAATCTAAAAAGGCGGCGGCGGCGCGTAGGCGAGAAAGAAAGAAGAAGAAGAAGTTGGAGAAAAAAGAGGAGAAAAGAAAACTACACGAAGAGAACAAAAAGAACGAGAATTACGACGATAAAGAGGAAAAAGGCGATGATAACGAAACTCAAGACGAAGAAAATAGAGAAAATACGAATTCACCCGTTCGAGAGAACGAAAAAGAGGAGGGCGACAGCGGGATAGACGCCAACAGCCAGGGAAGTTGCTCGAGTAACGAAGTGAAATCGAAGGAAAAGCGCAAAGATAAAAAGAAGAAAAAAGGGGCAGGTTCTAAAAACGAAGCGAGATCTAATCGAGGCAATAAAGCCGAATCGAAAAAAGACGAAAACAAAGACGGCAAAGATAAAGATATGAAAAAGACCGCGACAAGTACTCCACGAAAAAACTTAGTATTTGAGGCAACTAAACACCCCGCCGAAAGAGATGATTTCGAAGCGACCGGAAACGAGTACGTCTCCCCACCAAAAAATAAAAAATTAGAATATTTCGATGCCACATCAGCAACGACCAGCACAAAATCAACCCAACAAACGAGCCCGAAACAATTCATTAAACGCGAAGAGGGTTGGAAAGAAGTCGTGCGTAAATCCTCGCAACCCGTTGTGACATCCGCCGAAATCGCCGGTGTCAAAAAAGTTTCAGTTCCCTTAAACGCAATTTCACGAGTTATTGGGAGAGCCGGAAGTAACATAAACGCGATTAGAGGCGCAACCGGGGCTCACATCGAAGTCGAAAAACAAAGTAAAGGCCAAGGAGAACGGATTATAACCATAAAAGGAAACGGGGATGTCGTTAAAAAAGCCGTTGCGTTAATCCAAGCTTTAATCAAAGACCCCGATGCGGATATCTTTCAGTTATTATCCACAAAAAAGAACTCGACGACAACCACGCTTTGGGATAAAACCCAAATGGCGCAAATTAAGAAAACGCCGGTTAAAAATATTATTAGTTCGATTCAAATCCCGATTACAACAACGCAACCGAAAAGTATCACGGTTGTTTCAACGACCAGTACGAGATTATTAGTGAAATCAAGAAGCACGGTGACTTCTTCAAATACCCGACCGATAGCGCCACCTAGGATGATCGCACAAGCCGAAAAATACGTCACTAAATTACCGACGTCGCAACCGAACGTTATTACAGCGCGGATTACAACCAAACCGATTACGACGGTCGCGACGGAAACTTTCGCTGCTAAATTAACCGAATCGACGCATACTTTAAATATTGCCGTAAGTTCGCAAGGAAAATTACCGCAAAAATTGCCGAGCTTAAACGTTCAAAATCAACAGTCTATAGGGCCCGTTAGTCCGTTGTTAAGTTCGAATACAACAACGTCTTGTTCGATGAATCAATTGTCTCCGAAACATCAATATAATCGGCCGAGTTCCGCCGGGTCAGCTCCACCGAGTTCTCATTTTCCGGTTCCGGGAAAAAATCCTTTCCCACCAACATCTTCATCATCATCAGAACAAACAATTAATAATAACCACAGAAGTAATACTCCGATTCAAACTCCAATTTCATCGAGCATCCAAGAAGAAATCGGGGGGACCGTTACAATTACAATGCCCGCGCCTCAACAATATTCTTTGTTTAACACGGTTTCGCAACAATCCATGTTCCAACAAAGTATGTTGAGGCGAGAGAATGAGCAAAAGAATTTTGCTGCTGTTACGGGCGGAGGAGGAAGTGGGAATCAACCGGTTGCTCCATTCATCGATCCTGAAACTCCCACGGTAGATGCGTCGAAAGCCCCCGGGTATCGAGGAACAACAGTTTCGAGTCCTGTTTCATCGAAAGCGAGCAGTAACAGCACGACGCCTCCAAATTTAAATTTACCAACGAATCCAAATTTTAATCAATCTAATCAGGCTTTACCCCCGATTGGAACTAATATTTTACATTCAACGCGGCCGTCATCTCAAACGAATCAAAACGATTATTTTTCCGCATCCGAATTAACCTCTAGAAACATCCCCCATTTGGCTCATTCGGATACGAATCTATACAAGCGGCAAAATAAAAATTATCCCACCGCAATGAACACGATAGCTTTAAGTTTAAGCAACGATCCTCAAATTTTACATTCGAACCTAAACTTTTCCCAACCCCAATTAGCGTCGTCTCAAAATTTACCACCTCAACCACCTACCATTTCACGCCTAAACCCGAAAGCTCCCGACTTTTCCAGTTCCGTACACGGAAAGTACAGCATGGATCTTTTTAATCCGCCGTCGTCGTTTCAACCGGGAAGTTCGATTGGTTACCATCCGATGACGAAACAACAAATACCGACGTTTAATCAACAGCGAGTCCCGCAATCCGCCTCGCAAAATCGTTGGCCAATGATGGCTCAAATCCAACCGCCTCCTTACAATCAACAAACCAGCGATTTGATGATAAGCGGGATGGCTGGAATGACGATTCATGGATTGGCAAGAGTTACGGGGGGAGATATTTTGGAGAATGGGGAATTAGGATTTTCGAATAGCTCCCCGGCGATGTCGCCGAATCTTCAACCACAACACGTGATTCAACAGGAAAATCACCAAGAAGATCGGAAACCACCCCCAATTGGAACTGAGCGACGAAAAACTTATCCGCAACAACCCGGCGGGGATCATAGTTGGGTCAATGTTGAACCGAAAATGTACCCCACCGAACGAGGATGGATGTCAAGTAATATGGAGCGATATCCACCGATGCAACAAAAGCAGATGTATAACGATACTGGGATACCTCCTTTAATGGATACTTTTCAGGTGAGTTAATTCAATTAAATTTGTTTTATAGTAATTTTTGATTTATTTTAGGGTATGGGGATGGATAATAGCCATGGTTATGCTAATGGCACTCCTTTACCACATTATTACCAGTTGCAACAACAACCCATGGTTAATATGAGAGAGTATCCCCCAAATGATCAAATTAAAATGGGCGGTGGCGGAAGCGGAGGTTTATCTTGGGAACAATCAAATATGGATTTACAAGATAAACAACAGGTAAAAATTTATTAATTAATAAATTAATTAATTACACTAGTCAACAAATTTGAACTTTTTAAATTACTACTTTTTTAACTAAATTACTACTATATATGTACAGGGTGTATCTGAATGACTGCACCTTGCACACTTTGATATAGAAACCATGGATGACTTCGGCTCCCTTAAGGAGCTATACCCCTCCAAAAATGGCAGAAAAATTTGGTTTAATTTATTTTTCTCAAAAACCATAAACGCTAGGAAAATGAAATTTGGGGGAATATGTCGAACTCATAATTAGGCCACGGAACTTTTGTAACAAAATGATACAATTTCCCCCCTCCACTCGTTCTCAGCAGAAAATTTCATACAAAAGTTGTTCTAAATTAAATTCTAGAACGATTTTCTCAATAAAAAATATACAGGGTGATTCATAAGTAATGGGCCAAATTGTAAATGTACGTTCAGGAGGCCAAAATAATAATATTTTCATTAACAATAANTATATATGTACAGGGTGTATCTGAATGACTGCACCTTGCACACTTTGATATATAAACCATGGATGACTTCGGCTCCCTTAAGGAGCTACACCCCTCCAAAAATGGCGGAAAAATTTGATTTAATTTATTTTTCTCAAAAACCATAAACGCTAGGAAAATGAAATTTGGGGGAATATGTTTAACTCATAATAACTTTTGTAACAAAATGATACGATTTCCCCCTCCACTCGTTCTCAGTAGAAAATTTCATACAAAAGTTGTTCTAAATTAAATTCTAGAACGATTTTCTCAATAAAAAATATATATATAAAATATTTTTTGAGCTTATATTCTTAATTATTGATCAAATCAAAAATTTTTATTAACAATATTTGTTTAGAATTACTTCAGGAACAGTGTTTGTTAATACAATTTTTTGCTAACTTGAAATTTTAATTTCCCTCTGAATAGTATGCTATCAAAATTAATTATCTCAATAATTATTGTTTTTATCAACAAATGTTTTAAATAAAATTTGTTTCAATTTCGATTTTGAATCAATTATCTTAATAAAAAATTTTTACATCTCTATTAATTAAACATCTATGTGTAATTATATATAAACATTTAAAAATTATTATTTTGAGGTTATCTCTTTAATTATTGATTAAATCAAAAAAAGATGTTCATAAAGTTTGTTTAGAATTGTTTCAGGAACAATTTTTGTTAACACAATTTTTTTCTAACTTGAAATTTTAATTTCCCACTGAACAGTATGCTGTTCTTTTAATCAGAACGAGTCGTTTTGTTACAAAAGTTCCGTGCCCTGCTCATAATAGGGCACGTTTTGGCCCTATTTCTACTTTCAACCTACCCTTCTAAATGATAAATACATTGGAAAAATTTCAGTTAGATAGATAAAACTATTCTAAAACTTTTTTGTCTCTCTGATGTTGTTCTAAAATTTAATAATTTCTGAAAAAAAAGATAATTAAGCAAACACTAAGTGTTAAGCTGTAGGGTTGTTAATCGAAAGTTGGAATGAATTTTTAATGAAAAAATCTTAATAGGCTTTGCAATCTTTGTCAGAAATATTTTTGACGTTTAAATGTTAGTGGTTTTCTTACTATTATTATTGTTTTATTTAATTTGGAAATTTCGGTGGAACTTTATTTAAAAATTAATTTGAAAAACAATAATAATAGTAAGAAAAACACTATTGCAAAAGCCTACTAAGATTTTTTCATTTTTTCATTCCAACTTTTGATCGATAACCCCGTTGTTTAACGGGCAGAGCTTGCTTTATTATCTTTTTTCGCAAAAATTAGTCGTTTTTGGAGAAATTTTAGAGAAACAAAAAAGTTTCAGGATACTTTCATCTACCTATGTAATATTTTTCTAATGTATTTATCATTTGCATAAAACAAATTTTAGCAAAAATGTAAAGGGGTTGGTTTCGTTTAGTAGTTTAGAAGGGTAGGTTAAAAGTAAAAATAGGGTCAAAACGTGCCCTATTATGAGTTCAACATTTTCCCCAAATTTCATTTTCCTATCGTTTTATGGTTTTTGAGAAAAGAAAAGAATTACCCCTTGAAATTTGTTGCAGTCATTCAGATACACCCTGTATAGAAAACTACAGGCGATCCAAGGTGATCGTTTCAGCTAAAATATTTTCAGTTTTCTCCAGCTTCCGGTTATACCGGAAACGGACCCCAACTTCGTTATTTTAAATAGAATGTACCAATTTTTATTGCATTTTCGAGATCCTCGCTAAATTCTAATATAATTTAATATAAGTCATCATATGTCTAAGAGTGCACCATTTTTGAATTATTACAGTTTTTTCGAAAACTTTGTCAGATACAACCCATCACAATAAAAATAATTTTTCGGAATTACACTCAAGTTCCGCCAAATATTCTCAGGGTTTGCACAGAGAGGACCTATAGCTTACATAACTCTTGAAAAGTTTTTTAAAATGTTATACAGGGTGGTCATAAATTTGCATCGAATTTCCCTATATCGAAAAGTCAAAAACTTCATTTTTTTAAATGACAACCCCAATTTTTTCCTTCACCAGCGTATCTAAAATGTATGGTTTTCGTAGAAACTTGAAAAAAATGAAATTTTCTTAATTATTGGTAAATTTAAAGTTATTAGTTGGCTTTGGTTTGAGGGAAGTGTATGAAACAAAAGCTATTGTGAGTTAGAATGTAAGGAGACTTTGTGATTAACATCAGAACGAAGCAATTTGTTACTTTCCAAAATACAGCCCATGGGTGAGGCCTGCATTCAAAAATTCTCCTCAAAACCCGATCTCCACACATTTTGTATCTTTCATAATAGAATAAAACTTGTAACAGCAGAAGAGAAATGAAGGTATGTACTATATTTAACAATATAAATGAAAAATAATGAACAAGAATGAAAAATTGATGTAACTATAGTCAAATAAATGTTCGAACTGGTTCTCAACTTCCAAACATTTATGAATTCTTTTTAAAAAACCGATATAAGTGGCATTGCGAATTTCTTCCAAAGAAAGAGATCGAATTGCATCACGAACTTTTTCTTGGATTTGATACCACAGCTGATTCCAGTTTAGCTTTCATAGATTCNTAAACATTTAAAAATTATTATTTTGAGGTTATCTCTTTAATTATTGATTAAATCAAAAAAAGATGTTGACAAAGTTTGTTTAGAATTGTTTCAGGAACAATTTTTGTTAACTCAATTTTTTTCTAACTTGAAATTTTAATTTCCCACTGAACAGTATGCTGTTCTTTTAATCAGAACGAGTGGAGGGGGGAATCGTATCGTTTTGTTACAAAAGTTCCGTGCCCTGCTCATAATAGGACACGTTTTGACCCTATTTCTACTTTCAACCTACCCTTCTATCATTTGTATAAAACAAATTTTAGCAAAAATGTAAAGGGGGTGGTTACGTTTAGTAGTTTAGAAGGGTAGGTTGAAAGTTGAAAGTACAAAGAGGGTCAAAACGTGCCCTATTATGAGTTAAACATATTCCCCAAATTTCATTTTCCTAGCGTTTTATGGTTTTTGAGAAAAAAAAAAGGAAAGAAAAGAATTACCCTTGAAATTTGTTGCAGTCATTCAGATACACCCTGTATAGAAAACTACAGGCACTATTTTTGTGAAAATTTGCATATAGGGTTTATACAGGCACTATTTTTGTGAAAATTTGCATATAGGGTTTATATTTTGTATCTTTCATAATAGAATAAAACTTATAACAGCAGAAGAGAAATGAAGGTACATACTATATTTAACAATATAAATGAAAAATAAAGAACAAGAATCAAAAATTGATGAAGTTGAATTGGTTCTCAACTTCCAAACATTTATGAATTCTTTTTAAAAACCCGATATAAGTGGCATTGCGAATTTCTTCTGAAGAAAGAGATCGAAATGCATCACGAACTTTTTCTTGGATTTGATACCACAGCTGATTCCAGTTTAGCTTTCATAGATTCCAGATATGTTTAGCGCGAAATAATGAATAAGAATTAGAAACAAAATTTACCCTACAATTTTCAATAAGCTTTCCATTCAAATTTTCGTTATAAAAGTGCAGCACTACCACATCATCATTTTTTGTGGCAGCTAAAACATTAAATCTCCAGTATCCTTGAAATTGTCTCACGAAATATGTCTGGGTTAGTATCACTTCAATAATGAGAGTTATGCCGATTAAACACATCATTATTGTGAAATTTTTGCCTCATCCGTCCAAATTATCTTTTCCAAACATTTTTTTTGAGTTTTAATCAACATAAATTCACAAAAATCAATTCTCCTGGCCTTAAACTTTGTGCCAATGAATAAGAATAAGGATGAAAGTCATGTTTTTAAAAAATCCTGTGATTGCTTTTCTCAGATATTTCCAAATCCCTTTTAGCATCTAATAACGAATTTTCAGGATACACTCTGAAGTACCCCAAAACTGTAATTTCATTTTCTTCGCTTTCTACGATTGGTTTAAACTCTTTTGTGCTTTCCAACAAACTGGCCATAGGTTCTACAATTACTAAATTCTAAACGGAACATGGTTAACACTTTTGCTACGTAAAAGTCAAATTATTTGTTTCAATGTGATAGTTTTTGGTTCTTCAGTTTGCTTGATTCAAACCAAAGCCAATTGATAATTTTAAATTTACTAGTAACCAAGAAAATTTTAGATATAGGGATGTAATGACAAAGTTCCTTTATTTTCCAGCGTACAATACGCTGGTGAAGGAAAAAATTGGGGTTGCCATTTAAAAATATGAAGTTTTTGACTTTTTGAGATAGAGAAATTCGACCCAAATTTATGACCACTCTGTATAATTTTTTAAAAAAACTTCAAGGGTTATGTAAGCTATGGGTCTTGTCTGTACAAATTCTGAGCATATTTGGCCAGACTCGAGTGTAATTTCGAAAAATTATTTTTATTGTAAAGGGCCAAAATTTTCGAAAAAACTGAAATAATTCAAAAATGGTACACTCTAGACATATGATGACTTATATCAAATTATATTAGAACTTAGCGAGGATCTCGAAAATGCAATAAAAATTGGTACATTCCATTTAAAATAACGAAGTTGGGGTCCATTTCCGGTATAACCGGAAGTTGGAGAAAACTGAAAATATTTTAGCTGCAACGATCATCTCGGATAAACCCTGTATGCAAATTTTCATAAAAATAGTGTCAGTAGTTTTCCATATACATATAGACTCAGCTCGTCGTGACAAACCCTGTACATACAGGGTGTCCAAATTTTGATGGGTTATCTCAGTTATTATGAAAGATAGAAAGTTGCGGCTTTCGCGAAGCTGAGCTACTTTTTTGTTAAACTTACAATTGCGCAAACCAAATTTTCATAGCCCTCTTCGTTTTTGATATATAGGGAGTGTTTCAAAATTTACGATTTTCAGACACCTCCTGTATCTAGGTTATCTGGAAACTTAGCAAAAAAGTAAAAAACCGGTTCTAATAGATTTTTTCACGTGGAATCCAATGGTGCACGTAGAATTTTTCTAGTCATCACGGTTTTTGAGTTATAAACACCACTCAAATACTGAATACTCAACTTCTAAAATACTTAACTTTTTATAACTCAAAAACTATACTCTGCAAACCCATCGAAATTTGGAACCTGTACATATAAATTGACTAATGTTGAGAAACTGCTGACTAGTGCTATTATTTACATTATTATTTTACTTAATTATTTTAATTGTTATTTTAAGGGATGGCCAATGATGGCAACGAAATGGAATAATCCTTAACTTGGTGATGAAAAAGAAAAATTTACCCGGATGAGACGATTCACATTATTCACAACTTAGACACAAACATTAAAAAAAATGTTTTAAAAGAAACTGATATAAAAAAATCAACTAGCTTTTGCCGTAGGAGATATAAAAAAAAAATAGGAGATAAAAAGTAGGTATTTTATTTTACACTTTTTAATAAGAAACAGATTAATTGAAATAACGGAGAGGAACAACAAAAAAATGAGGTAATAATATACTACTTTTACTGTGGTTTCTGAGAAAAAGAAAACAAACGGTATGGATCATTTTTATTGTTATAATTAAGGCAGTCCACATGACAACCGTATATTATTATTATTATTGTTATATTTATACATAACAAGGAATTTCTGAAATGAAAACGAGAAAGGTAAACAGAGTGGATTGAGTCAGTTTATTCAGTTTATTTTTTTAGGGGCTCCACTCAAAAAATGAATTATTATAAAAAAGATATATGTAATTTGTAGAATATTTTCTTTTTGGTTTTAACTCTTTATTTTATTTTCTTGTTGATCCTTTTGATTCTTAATTTTTGTCAATTGACACCTTTATTAAAAAAAAAAAAAAACTACCTTATCCTGGATATGGAATAAAACTTGGATTAGATAAATTGTAATATATTTTGAGAGAGAAAGCAAAAGAATTTATAAAAAAAAGTTGATTATAGTTCATGATTAAAATCGTGAATTAAAAAATTGATTTGATTAAAAAATGGGCCGAGTCCAAGCTGAACTTAGACGTTTATAATTAATAAATATAATCTAATAAACACTATTATATCTTTGTAGTAGTCGCGCAGGTTTTACGAGGGATTGGCGATTTTAGGGGCAAGTGTGATTTTCACTTGTGATTTATAATATCGATGATTTTCGTTCTCTATTTCGAATATAATTCTTTTTCCTCCTTTTATTTTTTCTTTTATTATTTTCGTTTCATTTTTTTTTTGTTTTTTTTTCATAATAATATACATACATAAATAAATAAAATAAAAAAGTAAAAATACATAAATACATGTGTAAGCAGCGCAGTGTTTGTACGCCAAACGGAAGGTTTTAGCACCCTCTTAGAAGAAATAAATTTGGGGGGTGACCTCATCCGTGCAGCGAGCACTCCTCTTTTTAGGTGGGTAGCACAGTCTCCCACGGAACTGTAGGGTTATTATTAATATAACGGATTATGTAATATTGCTTGTACATGAAGACTTAAATATATCTTTATGCACTGATATTATTTATTATTCCTGTAATTAATGTATTCCTCCGCCTCGCATCTTTCCACCGCTTTCTAGGTCTTCCTCTGGCTCTTGCAATTCTAGCTGTTGCGTCGAAAATCTTTTTGGGCTCTTCATCGATTCTCATCACGTGCCCCAGCTATTCCTTTGCACCTTAATAATTCTAACTGTTTTCTCCTTCCATCATCATATCCAATTCATAGTTGTATTTATTTTGCGAAGCAACTTCCTCAAACAACCTCAATGCGTTTTCATCTGCAGTATTCAACCTTCATGTCAGAACGCGTCTTATTAGTACTTTGTGCGTGAAAGTGAGTTTGAGTGAAATAATTTTAAGTATATTTTCAGGTTGTGTTATCCTTTATTTAAGAATCACGTGAGTACCTTCAATATACTTATTTCTGATTAAGCATAACATTCAATGATGTTTGTATTTAGCCATATATCTATTTAGCTATATATTTAGCCATATATCTATTTAACCATATATCTATTTAGCCATATATTTATTTAGCCATATATCCATTTAGCCATATATCTATTTAGCCATATATCTATTTAGCCATATATCTATTTAGCCATATATCTATTTAGCCATATATCTATTTAGCCATAATCTATTTAGCCATACATCTACTTAGCCATATATCTATTTAGCCATATATCTGTTTAGCTTTTGTATAAGGTTTTCTTGTGTTCTTGGAAGTTTTTTCTCTAGTGTAGTTATCGCTTTGAACATTTTGCTCATTTATTACATTTGTTCCCATAAATCTTTGGAACAATATCTAGGTATTTAGATCTTAGCGTCAAAAATAAATGTCTAGCTCGATATATTAAGCACTTTTATCCAAGTCTGGTTTGTTACTCCCTCTCATTTATTGCCTATTTTAAGACCATTGAGTTTTTGTTAAATTTTATTTCATCTAAACATTGAAATATAAATTTCCTTTTTAATTTTACAGTAAATTTCTTTAACTCGCTCACGTCTATATTGTGCTTTTCAACAATAGATGTCTATTAAGATTTAAAAGAATCCACACCAATTTTTTTATGTATATTTTTTCTTATTTCTTTTTTAAATTCGACACGAAATCGATTAACGAAATAAATCTAACGACCTATTTAAATAATTACCTTTTTGGTATTAATTTATTGAAACGCACCATTTTGATCGATTCGATTAAGTTATATTGCACGATTATAATTTAAAGTTGAGTAATATAATTAATGGTTTTTTTAACATTTTTTTATTGTCCAATAAAATCATAACATCTACAGTATGTCCCCGGATCGAGTTATAAAGAGGAAAAAAATTTTTGTTACTGATTTTTCAAACTTATCTCAGTTGTTAACTAATTATTCAAAATTTTAGGTAAAAATTGGACTTTTTTCTAAATTAATAAATTTTTCAAGTTCAATTTATGATATGTAACCATAGAAACTATAAAAGATACAACTTATGTTGGTGATATTAAGTCTTTTCATGCGATGTTAACCGTGAAAGAGAGAATTTATTTAGTACTGTGCTATGGACTAGTGCTCGATTAACACGACAAATAAGAAAGGAACTTGATGCGTATCGCATAAAATCTTTTCAACAATATTTAAACAACATACAACCCAATAGTCACGAAATATGGAAAGCAACAAGAAGAATCACGAGAAAATCTAATGAAATATCAACTTTAAATATTGATAATGGACACTTAGTAACTGATCAACAGAAAAGTACTGGTTTTGCAGAATATCTGGAGAAAATATTCAGACCCCACTTCTTCAGCACCCCAAATTTCACAACTTCTGTGATATCATATAACGAAAACCATAATCCGGTATTGAACAGTAACTTTGAAAAAGTCACAATAAATGAAATTCGACAGATTATTAAAAATCTGAAAACTAAGAAAGCTCCAGGACCTGATCAAATTCCTAACTTGACCATAAAAAATCTACCGGAAACAGTAGTGCAGTTTTTGAAGAGATTACTCAATGCCTGTCTGGAACAAGGTTATTTTCCAAACTGTTGGAAACACGCCCATGTACTTATGTTTCTAAAGCCAGGGAAGCCCAAGAGCAACATCACCAGCTACCGACCGATTAGTCTATTATCTACATTATCCAAAATCTTAGAAAAAGTAATTAATTACCGCCTATGTGAAGCATTAAACGAAATGAATGTGATTCCACACTTCCAATTTGGTTTTAGAAACCAGTTCTCGACCAGTCATCAATTACAACGATTATCGAACATAATTGAAAACGGATTTGAAATGAAGCAATACTCGACCGCCTTATTTCTCGATATTGCCCAAGCTTTCGACCGTGTATGGATCAACGGATTAATTTATAAAATATTACACCTGGATCTTGACAGCAATATCAAGCAAATACTAATAT